AATAAGGGACTCCGATCTCTGCTTTTCTATACCACCATGAAATGTGCATCAGTGTGTGCCTATGTTCTCTTCATCTCGCCATCTCTGTGATGGGCAGTATAAGTGCAGTTCTGGAACCCTTAAGATTTCTCTAAGTATCTAATGTCATCATGGAAATCATATAAGTAAGTGCCAGTAATTGTCTGGATTAAAGGTTCTTGTTACCAAATAGAGTTAATTAAAAAAAAAAAGACAACTCCTATTAAGACCTGACTCTTTTCAGACTTGAGACATCATCCCTGTTAGTTCTTTACTAGAAATTTTCTGATAGCAACATTTGAAATTAATATTTAATACTTATTTTGAAGACTTTCTCATTCTGAATTGGAATTGTTTCAGAGTTTCTATTGCTTTGATAAAACACCATTGACAAAAATCAACTTGGGGAGGAAAGGACTTATTTCATCTTACACTTCCTGGTAAAAGTTCATCACTGAGAGAAGTCATAACAGGAACTCAAGCAGGGCAGGAACCTGGAGGCAAGAGCTGATGCAGAAGTCATGGAGGAGTGCTGACTGCTTACTGGCTTGCTCCTCATAACTTCCTCAGTTTGTTTTCTTGCGGCACCAAGGACAGCCAGCCCAGGGATGGCACCACAATGTGTTGGGCTTTCCCACATCAATTAATAATTAAGAAAATGCACTATAGATGTCCCTATGGTCAACTCTTAAGGAGGCATTGTTTTCATTTGAGAGTCCCTCTTTCCAAATAACTCCAGCTTGTGTTAAGATGACATAAAACTATCCAGGAACCATATGTTTTTTTGGTTTTGGTTTTGGTTTTGTTTGTTTTTGTTTTTCAGACAGGGTTTCTCTGTATAACAGTTGTGGCTGGCCTGGAACTTACTCTGTAGACCAGGCTGGCCTCAACCTCACAGAGATCCACCTGCCTCTGCTTCCCAAGTACTGGAATTGAAGACGTACACCAACACCTCCAGGTTCATATGTACTTTTTAAATTACTTTTGCTATGAGTCCACTTAGTTAGAGGACATAATATCTAACAGAATACAAAAAATCCAAAGCAACCTATAAGTGACAAGTCCCTCTAGGAATATGTAGGCCACCCCTATGCTTGGATCTTGAACCATTGTTAGGAAATTGTCATCGGTGTTGTTGATTCTAGTTGGATTTAAGAAATGCATGTTTGAGCCAGGCATGGTGGTCCACACCTTTAGTCTCAGCTCTCGGGAGGCAGAGGCAGGCAGGATCTCTGATTTTGAGTCCAGCTCATATCTATTGCCATGCACAAAACTCAAGTCCAAATGGATCAAAGACCTCAATTTAAATCCATCCACACTGAACCTCAGAGAAGAGAAAGTGGGAAATACCCTTGAACCATGAGCACAGGAGACCACTTCCTAAATAGAACACTAGTAGCACAGACACTGAGAGCAACAATTAATAAATGGGACCCCCTGAAACTGAGAAGCTTCTGTAAAGCAAAGAACATTGTCAACAAGACAAAATGGCTCCCTACAGAATGAGAAAAGATCTTCACTAACCCCACATCTTCCTGAGAGGGCTGATCTCCAAAATATACAAAGAACTCAAGAACCTAGAAATCAAACTACCAAATAATCCAATTAAAAAATGGGATACAGATCTATATAGAGAATTCTCAACAGAACAATCTCAAATGGCAGAGAGACACTAAGGAAATCTCAAAATTCTTAGTCAACAGGGAAATGCAAATCAAAACAACACTGAGATACCATTTTATACCCACCAGAATGGCTAAGATCAAAAACACCAATGACAGCTTATGCTGGAGAGGATGTGGAGAAAGGGGAACACTCCTCCATTGCTGGTGGGAGTGCAAACTTGTACAGCCACTGTGGAAATCAGTATTGTGGTTTCTCAGAAAATCAGGGATCAACCTACCTCAGCACCCTGCAATACCACTGTTGGGAATATACTTGAAGGAGGTACATTCACATCACAAGGACATTTGCTCAATTATGTTCATAGCAGCATTATTCATAATATCCAGAACCTGGAAACAACCTAGATGCCCTTCAACCAAAGAATGGATAAAGAAAATGTGATATATTTACACAATGGAGTACTACTCAGGTAAGAAACAATGACATCCCAAAATTTTCAGGCAAATGAACAGAACTAGAAAAGGCCATCCTGAGTGAGGTAACCCAGACCCAGAAAGACAAATATAGTATGTACTATAAGTGGATACCAGACATAAAGCAAAAGATTGCCAGCCTACAATCCACAAGCCCAGAGAAGCTAGAACCCTCTTCTAGAAACAGATGGAAGCAGATGCAGAAATCCACAACAACTATTGGGTTGAGCTCCTGGAGTACAATCAAAGTGAGGGTGGATCAATAATATGAACAAAGGAGTCAAGACCATGATGGGGAAACCCATAGCATCAGCTGCCCCGAGTTAGTGAGAGATCAGGTCTTACAAATGAGGAACTTGCATAAGACTGGACTAGACTCCCTTAATATAGGTGACAATGGTGTGACTGGGACAATATATGAGGCCACTGGCAGGGAGTCCAAGATCTAACACAAATTGACTTAGTGAAGCCCATTCTATATGGAGAGATACCTTGCTCAGCCTAGAGACAGGTGGGGAAGTGCCTTGGTCTGGCCTCAACAAGATGATGAGGCAGACTTAGTAAACTTCCTAGGGGAAGCCTTACCCTCTCTGAGGAGCAGATGGGGGGTGGGGTGGTGGGAAGTGAGAGGAGCAGGAGGAGAGGAGGGAGAGGGAACTGGATTGGAATGTAAAAAACAAATCAATTTTAAAAATCTATATAAAAAAGGACATGGACAAAGTAACACTCTTTGTTTTTTTCTGCCATTGCTCAGCTGATCATAAAATGTGAGTAGTGTAATGATTATCTAAATTTTTCTATTATTAATAAAAACTGGGGCGTCAAATTGGGGTTAAAACCTGATTGATCAGAGAAGTAGTAGAGAAGCAACCAGTGACCTCCTCTCTGCCTCCTTCCTCAATCCAAAAAGCATGCATCTTTCTAAGCCCCTCCTTACTATTGCCCATGTCTCTCTATGTCCTCAGTCCTCCAAAATCTCTATGGCTAATTTTGGTCAGCTAGTAGCTAGTACTGCCCTCTGATGCAAGGTAAACGTTATTGCCACAGTAGAGTGGTAGTATGAACAGTTTTCCTGCAGCAGGGCAGAAATAAGTTTAGATTTAGATGTGGCTCTTTATCTCCACCTCTTTTCCCATGTCCTGCCCCAGGAAGTTTGAATTCTGTGGAGGATATTTCAAATAGAGGATGGTGGTCAACTCTTCTAGTCTAATGCAACAAAATATACTGCTTCCTCAAAACTCAAGGAATTTCACCTGGTCAGTCTTTGGGAGGCAAGCAGGATCTCACCCAATTTTAACTTTGTCAACATGGAGTTAGTGTGACTAGAGAGAGCTACAAGAGAGATCATGGGAAGGTTTTCTCTTGAGCAGAGCTTAAGTCTTTTGATACACCCTGGGTTCTTTTGGCCTTTTGCCTGGATGATGGAAGTATTAAAAAGCAAACAGAAACAAACAGCTCACTGCCAACAAGCAGAAATGCAGCTTCTAGAATACAGAACAATGTAGTCTTAGATCCTGTCTTTACCTGGTTGCCCTGTTTCATGTGTGACATCAGTCTCTAAGCAGTCTGTATGATATCCATCTTACAGCTAGAGAAACCAGAGCTTACAAAATACAAGTGACTTGCCGAGGATCACCCAGCTTTGAAGTACAAGACAAGACGTACACTACAATTTGGAATTGTAACCAGATGATTCACATACTTGAAAGGGAAGTTGAAAAGATGATCGGGACCCCCTAGGCAGCAGGAATCACAGGTGGTGCCACACAGAATAGGTTGGCATGAGCACCATGGTTGACACTTCTGCCACTGTGTTTGGTACTCCTGGAGAATTTGTCGACTGCTGCTCTGATTTTGCATCTTTCTTTGGAAAGTCAAATGGATTGTCTACCTGGCTGGCAGCCTTCTTTCATGTATCATTGTTCCAGCTGCCAGCAAGTGAAGAGGGTTCTGAGGTAGAGGGATGGGTTCTGCCTCCCACCAAGACCAACATCAGTGGTCCAAAGTGTTCAGATGCTGCCTAGCAGAGTTCAGTTGAAATTTCAGGAAATCTAGAAACTTAAAGTCCAGTTTCCATATGAGGATTACTGGTGGTTTCTAAATTAGTCATAAAACCTGACCACAAATGAAGTGATTGTCCAGCAGAATCTGCCATCTATCAGGGGCAGTCAGAAGGGATGACCATCAGTGACAACTTTCTCTAACCTCTGAGCTAAACTGGTCCTGTGTGGTCTTCAGACCTTGAACTTACCTTCTTGAGCAGTGTTTCACTATAACCACCCCATTAGCCATAGTAATGTGTGTTCCAGGAAGACTATGTTTTTCCCTTCTTATCTTTGTCCTGCTTTAGATTCTTTATAGACACTGGTGCTGAGATACTGCTCAGCCATCTAAGATTACTTGTGCTCTTTCAGATGACCTGAATTTGGTTCCTAGTACCCACGCCAAGTAGCTCACAACTGCCTGTAGCTTATGTTCCATGGGATCTGTCGCCCTTTACTGGCATCACAAGGCACTCACACATGTGTGCACATACTCCACACATTACATGCACAAACACACAGATAATGAAGAATAAATTCTTTTTAAAAGGACTAGGAAATGTACTTTAAAAAAAAATCTAGTCTAGGATACAGTAGGTACCCAAAATTATTTAAGCAATTGACTTACTGAATTTTCCCTTAAAATCTTTTTTTTTTTCTGAAGCTGAACTGATTCTTATGAATGATTAAATCAGGTGTGAGCTGCCATGTGGGTGCCAGGTCCTCTGGAAGAGTAGCCAGTGCTCTAGTACCATTATTTTCTTTTTTAAAATTTAAAATATTTTTAAATGTGCTATGGGAAGATGGACCAATGATAAGCTTTCTACTTTTGTTATTACAGGTATTCCAGGACTTGGGGACTGAAGTACTGTCTGGAGCTGCCAAAGGCTACAACATATGCCTCTTTGCCTATGGGCAGACAGGCTCTGGGAAGACATACACTATGCTGGGGACTCCAGTGAGTATTAGCACTGACGTGAACTGTCTTCCTAATGCCACAAACCTGAATCTTATGTTGACCTTACCACTGTGATATGGATCATGACCTCCATAATCAACATTAACAAGATTAATGACCCTCTTCTATATCTAACAATGGCATTTCACTATTTTAACTGAATGATAGAGTTTGTATAATTAGTCGCTGTGAAACTGAAAAACTAGAATTTCATGATTCCCTTTGACCAAGAGTCCTTGTTGGTCTTACTAGATATAACCTAAAACTTCACACTTTTATTGAGGATAAACCTGGACTGAATCTCAGTGCTGTATAGAGATAAGAATGCTGTGTCCAGCTTCAAAAGCTATGTGTGTTAGAAGAAAGCAAGAGACATGGCTGGGCTGGGGGCCTTTAAAAATATGTGGAGTGTAATGCAAATTGTTTTTAATAACAGAAAATTGAGGGAATAATGCCTTTGACCCAGCCCTTGGGAGGTAGAGGCAGACAGTTTTTTATGAGTTCCAGCCAGCCAGTGATGCACACTGAGACTCTGTCTCAAAACAGCAATGAAAAATAAAATTAAGGGGATAGCATTCCTAGAGAATACCCTTTCTTGGGGCTGGATTGATGGCTCAGCCATTAAGTGCACTGCCCAGAGGTCCTCAGTTCAATTCCCAACAACCACATGGTGACTCACAACCATCTGTAATGAGATCTGGTGCCATCTTCTGTTGTGCAGGCATACTTGCAGGCAGAACACTGTATACATAATAAATAAATGTTAAAAAAAAAGAATGCCCGTTCTTTAAGTTTAATATGCTAGTGAAATGACCTGGGCAGTGGTTGACAAGTAACATTGTATAGGAACAATCTGAAAGGATAGCCCACTTCTCTGGGTACAGCTCATTGTTTCCTTAGTCTATGGTTAGTGTGGTTTCAGATATTTGAAATTAAAAAAAAAAAAAAAAAGAACTTGCCCATTAAGCAAAGGGGGATAAACCCTTAAACTTCTGGATATGAGATAGAGAAGTATTCACTTCTTTGGATTTTTGCAGTTTTGCTGAGGGTGTAGATGTGTCCTCCTGTGACTAGGAATCTAGAAGGGACCACGTTAGTAGTGTGACTTTATCCAAGAATGATAAAGGTCACTGCAGGAAATCAAATGTCTAGGTTTGCCAGCTTTTCTTATCTGTCTTATGGTGATAATCTGCCTCTTATCTGTACATTCTTTTTGCCATGTCAGTGTCTCTTGATAGTGCCAGCCTGTAGTCTTCTAAATCCTTCTATAGAGGCTAGCTAGCACAAAGAGCCCACATACCCATCCTCTGTGCTTAGGAATCCAGGTGTTTTGGGGTAATGCTGGTGGGCATTGCTCAGAGTAAGCAGTAATGTTTTCCTTTCTCTGTCATCCAGGCCTCTGCTGGGCTGACCCCACGGATATGTGAGGTATAGACTCTCTTTTGATCATGTACTCCCAAAGTAAGTTTCCTATGTCAATTCCCTTCAATGAAATCTGACCCTCTGGTTTTGTGCAGGGTCTCTTCATCAGGGAGGATGACTATGCCTCACTGCCTTCTTCCTGTAGCATAAAAGTAAGGTAAGAACTCAAGCTCCAGATCCCTAATGTCCTATTTCTATTCCAGATTTCATATTTTCAGCTTTTTTTTTCCCTAGAGTCATCAGAGGGATGGAGAAAAATCCACATAGGATACATCAAACAGTACAGGGAAATGGGAAACATAGTTAGGTCTTTGGTTTGTGGAAACTTTAATTCTCTTTCCTTGGACTAGTCCAGCAGGTTCTTCTCCAGGGCCACAGTTCCCCCTTCTTTACTTCCTGTAGTTTCATTCTTGCTTTTGGGATTTCCCCTCCTAACCCTTATTGGCTTGTTCCATAGGACTGTAGATTTCAAACCTACTTCTCAGACTAGTGCTAGATCCAAGATTTGTTTTATTTTGTTGGACAGCATCGTGCTATGTAATCCAGGCTAGCCTCAGACTCTCAATCCTGATGTTTGACCTTCCCAAGTGTTATGGTTGTAGGCATGAACCTCCATGGCCTAACAAGATATATCTTAATTAACCAAGCTTCAGTGAAAAACATTAATATATGATTACTCGTTTTTTTTTTCTTTTTTTCAAGACATGATCTCTATATGTAGCCTTGGCTGCCCTGGAACTTGCTTTGCAGATCAGGATAGCCTCAAACTCACAGAAATCAGCCTGCTTCTGTCTCCAGAGTGCTGGGATGAAAGGTGTGCCACCACAGCCCAGCTTTTCTAGTTTTTCTTTAAATCTTGTATTGTCCTTCCTTTCTCACCTCCTCTCCTTCCCTTCCTGTTATATATAATCATTACTTGTTTCAGCTAAGAATTTTAACTGAAAGGTTCAAGCATTACGCAGGCCTGGCCCTGTTACCTGGCAGAATCCATTCAGGCAGTACCCTGGTCAGCCCAGGGTTCCATGGGAACTAAGTCTGCACACAGGTGTAGAGGACCCCTTTAAAAGACAGACCCCTGCCCACTTACACTCTCTTCTCTTACTCTCACGCACGCCCTCCCTTCCCCTCCTCCCCTCCCCTCCTCTCTTCTCCTCTCTCTTGCTCACTTCTCTCTCTTGCCTTCCTCTCTCTCCTCTTACTCTCTTTGCTTTCTCTCTCACTCCCCCCCCTTTTAATAAACTCCATGGTTAATGTATCTCCTGGTTCATGTTCCATAGTGCCAGTCTTTAAGCAAGATCACAACAGTAACTATTTAAAAAAATAATGAAATAGATATCTAAAAAGTATAACATCACAGTCTCGATGAGTAAAACAGATCAGAGTTGTCCAGCTTACAGCAAGGGCAGGACCTTCAATAATTTCTCCTGTTGCTCAGGAGTGACCCTTGAGATCCCTCATGGGACAGTAGAAAAAAATCCAAGTAGGATAATGAAGATAAAGATAGGAGCATCAGGAGTTTAAGGCCTTGGCTACCTAGTGAGTTTGAGGTAAGCCTAGGCTACACGAGTCCCCATCTTAAAAAAAATAAACAAGGAATGGAGAAATATCTCAGTGGTTAAGAGTACTTACAGAGCTGGGCATTGGTGGCACACACATTTAATCCCAGTACTTGGAAGGCAGAGGCAGGCAGATCTCTGTGAGTTCAAGGCCAGCCTGGTCTATAGAACGAGTTTCAGGACAAGCTCCAAAGCAATACAGAGAAACCCTGTCTTGAAAAAAAACAAAAAAAAAAAAAACAAAACAAAAAAAAACAACAAGAAAAAAGAGTACTTACAGTTTACCCGAGCTCATGGGAACTCATGGACTCTGGACCAATGTTAGGAAGCCTGCGTGGGACTGACCTAGGCCCTCTGCATGTATGTAACAACTGTGTAGCTTGATCTGCTTGTAAGGCTTCCTAGCAGTGAGATCAGGACCTGTCCCTGATGCTTAGCTGGGGTTTGGGAACCTGTTCCCCATGCTGGATTGATTACCTTGTGTTGCCTTGACACAAGAAGAGGTCTGTCCTACCTCAACTCGATGTGGCATGCTTTGTTCAAGCTTATGGGAGGCCTGAATGGAGAGGGAAGAGGAGTGAATGAGGAAGTGGGTAGATGGGAGGTGTGGGGGAAAGGGAACAGGAGGAGAGGAGGGAGGGGAAACTGTAGTTGGCATATAAAATGAAAATAATGTTAATTAAGTAAAAAAGATTACCTAAAAAAAGGTACTCTCTTAGTTACTTTTCTGTTGTGATAAAGCACCAAGACCAAGGCAACCTATGTAAGAAAGAGTTTATTTGGACCTATGGTTCCACAGGGTTAGAATCCATAGTGGTAGGTACTGCAAGACAATGAAAAGCAGGACCAGGAAGCTGAGAGCTCATATCTTGAATCATAAGCATGAGGCACAAAGAGAACTAATGGGAAATGTCAGGAGGATTTTAATCTCAAAGCCTGCCCCCGGTGACATACTTCTTCTAGCAAGGCTGTACCACTCACTGTCTTAGTTTTTAGTTGTTCTGATAAGACACCATAACTAAAGTAACATACAAAAGGAAGCATTTAACGTTCCAGAGGGTTAGAGGCCATGGCAGAGAACATGGTAAGAGCAATACCCTGAGAGTTTACATCTTGATCTACAAGCATTAGGCAGAGAGAGAGCTAACTGGGGATGGCTAGTGTGGGTTTTTGAAACATCACTGTCTGCCCCCACTGACACTTTTCCTCCAACAAGGCTCCACCTCATAATCCTTCAAAAACATTTCTGCCAACCAAGGACAAAGCATTCAAGTATATGAGCCCATGGTGTATGGGGGCCATTCTAATTCAAACTACCACAACCTATATCTCCCCCAAATAGTGCCTCCAACAACCAAGTATTTGAATACCTGAGACTATGGGGGACATCTGTCATTTAGATCACCATGAATGCATACTGCTTTGCAGAGGACCCAACTTTGATTTCCAGCATTCATGTCTGATGGTTCATAACTGCCTGTAAATCTAGTCCAGGGGATCTGACTCATTCTGGCCTCTGAGGGCACCAGCACTCACATGTGCATCTCCACCATACAAATATAAAGCAAACAAAACCCATAAAATAGAAGAATCACATTTGAAAGCCATTCCAACTATATTAAAATAGCCTATTGAAAGCTAATCTCAAATTGGCACTGATGTTAGAAATGGGGAGATAGTGGTAGCCAAAACCTTGTAGAAAGATATTTACAGGGGAACCCTGGCTCGACCTAGGTCTTAAGGTTATCAGAGCCAGAACAGGAATCCGGGACCTTTTGATTCTCAACTAAGTGTTTTCCCTTCTTTCTTCACAGTCTAACCGTCTTGCTTTTTCTCTGTGTCTCTAGCTTCCTGGAAATCTACAATGAACGGGTAAGAGATCTTTTGAAGCGATCCAGTCAGAATAAGTCCTATAGTTTGAAGGTCAGGGAGCACCCCGAGATGGGGCCCTATGTCCAAGGTGAGCTTCTGTGACCCTGGGAATTGGAGGGCCAACTGAGGTGTGGGAAGTTCCCCTAGTGTTCAATAACTCACTCAGCCTGTGTAATGATTGCTTTCTATGTGCTGGCTACTGTACTGGACATTGGATGCATGCTGATAAGCTGTTGTGACATGCCCTCACAGGCAAGCTTAAAATCTGGTGGAAGTGTCATAAGACAAACAGTTACTTGTTGTGATAAAGGATTATAAAGAAGTAGCTAGATACAGTTACTGAAAAGACCCCTGGAGCTGGGCAGTCATGGCAGGCACGCCTTCAGTCCCAGCACTCAGGAGGCAGAAGCAGGGTGATCTCTGTAAGTTTGAAGCTGGCCTGGTCTACACAGAGAGTTACAGGAAAGCCAACAGCCAGAGCTACACAGAGGAACCCTGACTTTGGGGTGGGGAGAGAGGGAAGAAAGAAAAGAACAGGCCCTTGGAAGATGGAAGATGTAGGCAACTGAACCTCTGTGTGTGGTCAAGAGAGGCTTTTCTGACAGGTAACAGTTGATGTTAAGCTGAAAGAGCTCATCGGATGCAGTCCTGGGAAGATGAGTAGAGTAAGGATAGATATGTCCTGTAGGGAGAACAGCAAACTCAAGCCCCCCAAAGCCCTTGGTGTTTCCAAAGAAGCTTGTATGACTAATTGTGGTGAATTAGGGGAAAGAGGCAGAGACTAGGTTGGGTCTGCAGGCAGCAGCCAAACATGGCAGCGACTAGTTCCCAGATCAACTGATCTACCTGACACTCTGTCTTCCATCAGTAGTGATTATGAAGGGCATCCAGGAAGATGCTGGACCTGACAGGGTCTCATGTGGTTCCCCATCAAACACTGAAATTTGGAGCTAGGTACCATCTCTCTTTTAAATCTTTTTTAGCCTGGGTCCAGCTGTTTAGTGGGTAGACAGTTGCGTGATTTTTTTTTTTTTTTTTTTTGAGACAGGGTTTCTCTGTGTAGCCCTGGCTGTCCTAAAACTCACTCTGTAGATCAGGCTGGCCTTGAATTCAGAGATCCACCTACCTGTCTCTGCCTCCCCAAGTGCTGGGAATATAGGTGTGCACCACTATCCCCCTCCCAACCCTACCCCCACTCTCAGCCATTGGACACAATAGAAAGTATTTATTAGCCAGCAGATGTTCAGGACCCAAGTGCAGTCCTGCAGTCCTGAACCTTTCTCAGGGTGAGCTTTTAAAAGCTTGAACGTGCGCATGTGCGCACACGCAACACACACACACAAACCCACCACATGGGTTGACATACCTCAGCAAAAATAGCCTGAAAAGGAACTACAGAAGCCAAAAAACAAGCATAGTAGGTTTATGACTTTCCTGAAGCTATAGACTTTGATGGATTTTTGTTCTCATTTTGGGAGGTGCTAAGTTCTTAGGTCAGAATGCCTCTAACATGGTGTCAGTGGTGCTAAGGTCTGGGAGGCTGTCACACTTTCAAGACACTCGTAAGCTGTGTTACATTCCTCCCATGCTAACTTAAATCCTGATAGAGAAATCTGAGAAAACAGGCATGTCTAATAGATGGCCAGTGGCATTCACAGATGCTGCTGCCAAGTGTTTCTTCCCCCCTGGCAGCTTGGGAACAGTAATAAAACAGCCCCTTTTGATTTCCTTTTCCATGTAAAGCAATACTGTCAAATGGAGGTGTCAGTGCTACATACTGGTGTGTGTGTGTGTGTGTGTGTGTGTCTGTGTCTGTGTGTCTGTGTGTGTGTGTGTATGTGTGTGTGTGTATTTTATATTCCCAGGACTACATGTATGCTTGGTTTGCTAATAAGTTTTGTGCCAGACAGTATTTGTAAACCTGCTCTTAGGAACTGGTATTTCTCTTTTTTTGTACTAAGCTCCTGTGAACACAAGGGATTTAGAAGTAAGCTAAGTTCAGCTGAAGGAGTGAGAATGAAGCTTAGCAGCAGTCTTTGCAAAGTCTTATTTACTTCTAACTCAACTTGTTCCTATCTTGTAGTCATTTGGGTTTCTTTCTATTAGAAGTGAATGTCTAAGTAGGCATTATGTCTATAATCTCTGCACTCAGGAGACTGAGGCAAGACAATTATCTTGAGTTAGAGAGCATCTTGGGCTAGAGAGAGACCCTGTTTCAAAAAATAAAACAAACAAAAATTGAAAGGGGGTGCAATTTGGGTAGCTGTAAGCTACAACTCTTGTCTCTTCATCCCTTGAAAGTTGCTAAGAAAATTGATTGCAACCTGCCTGCTTCAATCTAGTCACTGTTCATATTACTTTATCAGTTTTTGTGTACATTTATTTAGCAATAGACCTATGGCATTGTCTTGTTCCTGAGCCTCTAATACTCTGCAGAGGCTCTCTAGCACAGATTCCCATAAAGATTTTCTTCATATCCTTAGGATCCTTTTCACCTGTCTCAAGCCTTTCCATTCTGTAATGCCTTGGTTTATCCACAGAGCCCACCCTGCTCTAATTTGCTCAGCATTTTTGTTTGTCCCCTACTTCTGTGGTATTTGTCTGTAATGTGTTGTATAGTGTATTTCATGTTATAAACTGTACAAGGAGAGAGAGACATATTTTGTATGCTAAGCTGAGTCTGCCACCTTGTGGGTAAAACATCACCTTCCTGTCAGGGATTTTGTGAGGAATTTCTTTGTGGTTAGCGAGGCCATTACATGAATTCTAAACTGTAATCTTTGTGGAAATATATTGGCATTTCTAGAACCCATCACACCACCTGATGAGAGGTTTCAATACATATTTATTAATTTGTTATCTGAGTGATCTTATTAGTCAGGTTTCCTCATTCTAGCTTATGAAGTGATATAACATAAATAAAAGCCTGGTGGTACACTTAGGAGGCAGAGGCAGGTGGATCTATAAAGCAAGTTCCAAGATAGCTAAGGCTACTATACAGCTAGATAGACCCTATCTCAAAAAACAAACAAACAAAAATAAAACAACAACAAAAACAAAAAGAGAGATGGAGACAATGATAAATAAATAAATTAATTAATATAATAAAAAATTAGAGCCAGTAAGATGGCTCATTGGGCCTAGAGGTTCTTGCCATCAGGTCTGATGACCTGAGTTCAATTCCTGGGTCCTGCATGGTAGACAGAGAAGTGACTCCTGTAAATTGTCCTTTCGCTCCACATGTGTACTACTGTGGGCCTGCATTCAAACTCATATGGGGGGAGTAAAACCTACAAGAAAAGGTTAGTTAACCAGAAAGCTCACTTGATTTCTTTTCTCCTCTCACAAATTTGACAGGTCTGTCTCAGCATGTTGTTACCGACTATCAGCAAGTTATCCGGCTCTTGGAGGAGGGGATAGCAAACAGGTAAAACAGGTTTGTTGGGGGAGGGGTGCAGCCTCCTTTTGCCAGCCTGTGTTCCCCTGTCCTTTGGAGAGTATGGCCAAAGAGAGTATGGTCCTTTGTAGTGGTCTCTCCACATTCCCCTGCAGTACCCATCCAGAAGGCCTTGGAAAAGAACATGACTGAGAATTACTGCTCTTCTCATTACAAAGGAATTTGTTCTGGACATAATAATATTGGAGAGTACCATCTTTTCAGCTTGGCAAAGATGAATATAGCATACAATGATTCATAAATCTGTTTTTCTTCTAGTTCTCCACATTGTGAGGTTCTAGGCATATGAAACTAGGAATAGTAACTTAAGTGCCCCAGAAGCTACTATGCATTGTGATAACATTTCATGTTTTCAGCTACTCTGAGTACTAATAAATGTCTAGTTTCTCTGGGAGAAAATAAAAATGTAGTCTTATTTACTTTTATATGAATGCTTGTCTTGCTGGAATGTATGTGCACTATATGTGTTCTGTGCCCACAGAGGCCAGAAGAGGGTGTCAGATACCTAGAGCTGGAGTTACAGATGGTTGTGAGCTGTCATGTGGGTCCTAAGGATTGAACTCAGGTTGTCAGGCTCAGCGGCAGGTGCTTTCACTCACTAAAGCATCTCACTAACCTCAGTCCTAACATTTCTTATGTTCAGAAAGGTCTTTTAGGGTCCACCGAGCTTAAACAGTCCTTGTACTAACTGCCTTGTTGTATTCACAGGATCACAGCAGCCACCCATGTTCATGAGGCCAGCAGCAGATCCCATGCCATCTTCACTGTCCACTACACACAGGTTGGTCGGTCCTTCTTACTGAAGGAATTCTTTCTCATGCCTTGTGATTACTTCTACTATTTTCTCTTCTTTTTTTCCCCCCTGCCTTTATACTTATATGTTGTCTGATACAACTGACTTCTCCAATATCTTCTGCTTATCTTTGCTCATACAGTTCAGAATATGTCACTTATTAAATCAGTATGGGTCTGTCAAAAATGAAAATCAAGGTTGAAATGAAAATGAGCATTAAAATGAAAAAAGCATAAAGCTCACTTCCAATATGATAGAGTGAGAAGATTGACAAGTCCAGTTTCCAAAGGCAAATAGAAAGCAGAATACAACTGTTCTGAGTTCTGGGAGACTAGTGGGATATTGAAAAGCCCTGTAATGTGCAGTATTTAAGGAAAACAGCACAGATATATGGTACTCTTGTCTTGTTTCTTCTCTGCCCACTCACATACATCTCCAGCTGTCCTAGTGAGGAAGTTCATTTACAGAAGGCAAGGCTTGAAGATTAGCAATGGCTTTCGCTGCCTTCAGAGTTGTTCACTTGCTTTTGTGCAGCCAGTTAAAGTAGGTACCTCGGGGGATCCAGGAGCAAGCACATCAGTGACTCCATTAGCTTTAGATTGTAAATTCTTTTCAGGTAAGTCATGAACTGCCAGTCTAGGATTTAACAGAGAATTCTTGGTACAGTGGATTTAGCAACATCTGTGGATATGCTGGGTATTAGAAGCTGTGCACATATTGACCTATGGGGGCTGGAAGGATGGCTCAGTGGTTAAGAGTGTATACTGCTGTTCCAGAGAACAGAGTTCACCTCCCATCACCCACATCAGGCAGCTCACAACCACATGTAACTTCAGGGGATACAGGTTCCTCCTTGGGTACTAGCACTCTTGTTACCTTAGTGCATACACACACACACACACACACACACACACACACACACACACCCATAAACATAAATTAAAAATAAAATACATCTTTTTTTAAAAAGACTAATTAGGCTGGGCAATGCACACCTTTAATCACAGCATTTGGGAGGCAGAAGCTATCGAATCTGTGAGTTTGAGGCTAGCCTGGTCTACAGATTGAGTTCCAGGTCTGCCAGGGCAGCACAGAGAAACCCTGTCTCAAAACAAACAAACAAACAAGAGACAAACTGGATCAAAGCCAACCCCCCCACCCACAGTCCTGATTTGACAGAGCCTGCACATATGTTTAGAGGAAGCACAAGTGGGCTCTGTGGTTAGTAAACAATGAAGTATTCTGAACTTTTAATGCATTTCCCTGTTGATGCGTAGGTCCATCAACAGAAACTAGAAGTCTTAACTGAATCAAAACATGGAAGCGTTTGGGAGGTGCAAGCAGAAGGATTAGGAATTTAAGGTCAGCCCGGGCTATAACAAGTTCAAGGCCAACTGGACTAAATGGAGCCCTGTATCTAAAAATTTAAAACAGAAAAACAAAAACAATGAAATATAGTAATACATACTTGTAATCTCAGAACTTGGGAGGCACAAGCAAGAGGATCAGAAATTCAAGGTCAGCACGGGGTACATGAAACCCTGTTTCAAGAAAACAAACTGTATGGTGGCTCTTGACTTTAATCCCAGTGCCTTATGGATACCAAGCAAGTGCTACACACCCAGTTCAGAAACTAATTCACAGAGTGCTTTGGTTTGACTGATTGCTTGGTTGTTAGAGACAGTATTTCACTCTGTTGTGTGCAAGTATTTGCAGCATCCTTATTTGTAATTGCTCAAAACTATAAATGCCCAATGTCTTTTGAGAAGTAAATAGATAACCATGACACATATGCTATATCTATACAATGGAATACTCAGTAAACATGAACTAATGATACATTCTTTAGGGTATTTGAGTCTCAAAATTGTATTCATCAAAAGAAGGCCAGATATTATATGATTCCAGTTTTAGGAAATACCCCAAAAGGCAGATTTATATAAAGCATTGAATAGTGATTTGAGCTGGAGTTGGGAGCAAAGATTAACTCCAAACACAGTTGAAAGAAACTGGGAGTAATTGGAAATGTTCTAAAATTTTATTTTGATGATGAAGGCACTACATTAAAGTTTTGTAGCTAGGGCTGGAAAGATGGCTCTACAGTGAAGAGTGTTTACTGCTCTTGCAAAGGATCTGAATTCCATTCCCAGCACCAAAAGTCAGGCAGCTCACTCCTACCTGTATCTTCAGTTCTAGAGTATCTGGCACCTTCCAACATCCTGTGGTACTTACATTTTACATGCACACACCCACACAGAGATACAAACACACATACATACAATTAAAAACTAATACTAAAATAAAATAGTTAAAATAAAAATAAATCTTAAAAAAAATTTTGGTGATTTTTTGAGACAGAATTTCTCTATGTAGCTTTAGAGCCTGTCCTAACACTTGGGACTAAAGGTGTGAGCCAGCACCACCTGGCCAAATCTTTAAAAATTTATAAAGCAAGCCAGGCTTGGTGGTAAATGCCTTTAATCCCAGCATTTAGGAGACAGAGGCAGGTGGATCTCTGAGTTTGAGGCCAGCCTGGTCTACAGAGTAAGTTCCAGGTCAGCTAGGACTATACAGAGAAACCTTGTCTAGAAAACAACAACAACAAAAAATTATAAAACAAGCCCACATTGAGTTAGAGGATGAGAAATAATGAGAAATAGTTTTGTTGGTGGTGGATTACTGAATGGAACACGTGAAGTTCTTGTCCTAGAAAGCCAGCATGCTGTGACTGGGCAGAATAACAGACCTGATCAAGGGCTATCACTCCTTCTGTGGCTCTTTGCTGGTGAAAGTTAGAGCCCACTGATCAGTTTGCTGGTAAGTTCCTAGTGCTCCTAAAAACTATATGGGCTCTGGAGCTTTTCCCTGCTCACTGTAAGATTTAATGAAGTGATGCTGATCAGATAGTGAGTGCTCATCTGGTTAAGGACATGTCACCTTGGTGAGGACAGTATTGGGGGGGTGCTAATCATTCTGAATGACAGCTTTAAATGGTCTTTGTCTTTTAGGCCACCCTCCAGAATAGCCTCCCCTCAGAGACAATCAGCAAGATCAACCTTGTGGACCTAGCAGGCAGGTAATTGGGATTTCAAAGACAGGGGAAATTCTTGTTCCCTTGACAATGGCCTACTTCTTGCCCACTTTACATGGAATGGGTGTGATCCTAGGTTTTGCCTTGTTTAAATGTTTAAATCATCCTCAGATTACAAAAGAAGGAATTCTTAAATGCTAGCTTGAAGGTCAACTGGGAAATTCCTCCATATCCCTGGTTCTGAGTCTCACCTGCCTGTTGGGACTTGCTAAAACTTCCCAAGTACATTTTTAATCCCAGCACTCAGAAGGCAGAGGCAGGTGGATCTCTGTGAGTTCAAGGCCAGCCTGGTCTACGGAGTGAATTCCAGGACAGCCAGGGCTGCACAGAGAAGCCCTGTCTTTTTGAAAAACAAATCACCTCCTAAAGCCTACATCTCACATCAGAATAATGAGTGATAAGGTGAGGAAAAGGCTGGTGTTGCATTGATCTCATTGTGCAGCCAGGATTAAAAACAACTGTCCTGTGAAATAAACTGAGTTAGTACACTTTTTCCATTGACTTAATAACAATTATATGTAGCTGTATACACTACTTTAAATTTTTAAAAAAGATATTGTGCTTTTGAATTATTAGAAGTAAATATACTGTATTCATATTGTAACCAAATATGCATCCAGAAAGAAGAAAAATTTGAGGATAATGTCATATTAAAGTTCATGACTGTTGGGGAATATTATTTTAAGGTATGTGACTCTTGTTTATGCTGCATTTATTTAACTGTGAAGCTGTGTTACTATGCCTGTCTAAAACACCTGGTGGTCCTAATAAAAAGCTGAATAGCCAATAGTGAAGCAGGAGCAAGGATAGGTGGGGCTGGCAGGCAGAGATTATAAATAGAAGGAGAACCGATCAAGGAAAGGAGGACATCAGGTCAGGGGCCAGCGACCCAGCCATCTAGTTACACAGCAATCCACAGAGTAAGAATAAGATTTACAGAAGTAAGAGAACAGGAAAAGCCTAGAGGCCAAAGGTTAATAGGATAATTAAAGTTAGGAAAAACTAGCTAGCAACAAGCCAAGTGTCGTGGCCTGGCATGTCTCAGCTTTAACCCACAACAGCCATGAGGTTCTACCTGAGTGGGGGTGTGTGGACCTGGAAGCTCCTAGCAACCCAGCGACGATAAGGACCAAACACAGGCATCTTGTCATCTTCAGAGAGCTCTCAGTTCCATGTTGTAGAACTAGAGTCATTTCTTTATTAGCCATCTTTTCTGGTGTTTCTTAACCATCCTGCCAACACCATCTTTCTTTGTTCTCCCTGCTCTCTGGTCGCTCGCCCCTCACTCCTAACCTTCAGTCCTCACACACCTCTGCCTTCCCTGCCTAGGTGAGGGCCTATTCAGATGCTTAGGTGCATAGAGATGCAAATAAGAGGCATATTACCCTGAGGTCATGGTAAACAATAGTAGCCGTACTGGCATTAACAATACAATAGTGGGCCAGAGCTTTCCGATGCCTCTGTTTACAGGAGCTAGAGACTGGGCCCCAAAATATTCCATAACAGAAATATTTGGTCCCCCACAGCCAAGCTAAGGCCAGGCATTCATAAGTAATAAGACTCCATGTGTGATTTACTTGGGAGCTGGGTGGTGGGCTCCTCAAAACAGCCAAAAAAGCCAGAAGAGTAGAACATCAATAACATATGATAACATAAGGCAAAATTTTCTCAATTTGGAATTTAAAAAAAAAAAAAACAAAAAAAACACCAAAACCAAAAAATGAACAGCACTCTCTTAAGAACTGAGTGTGAAGGTGTAGTGGGGAGAGTGCTTGCCTGATATGCACTAAGCCCTGGGTTTAGTTCCAGCACAGCAATGTAGTGAGGGGTTGGGGAAGCTAAGTCCTGTCTGAAGGAATATCAGCTAATCAAAATTGTACATTTTCACCGGGTGTTGGTGGCACACACCTTTAATTCCAGCACTCAGGGGGCAGAGGAAGGCTGATCTCTGTGAGTTCGAGGCCAGCCTGGTCTACAGAGTGAGTGCCAGGATAGGCTCCAAAGCTACACAGAGAAGGCCTGTGTTAGACCCCTGGAAAACTCAGGTATCCCGGGTCCCAGGCCACGACCGCAGTCACCCCAATCACCAGGCAGATTCGAGAGCTTGCTGTAAACTGCATGAGGCTTTATTGTAATTTAACGAGCTAACCCCATGTTAGCTCGGGTCTTTTGTCCACCCACCATGGCGGTTGGCTACAAAACACTGCTCCTAGGGGCTCCCGAGAGATCTTGTAGGGCAGCATAAGGGGAGTGTCTAGGGGTACGCACAGGCTCAGGATTGGTGTGCCCTCCAGGCTTGGAGGGCTTGCCCTGTGTTGATTGGCCAACTGGTTGTTATGGCCCATAGGCCCTCCCAGGGTGGTTGCTATGCTCTGTGCATCATTGCTGCGCGCTTGTCTGTAAAGTACACCCAGGGTCGTAAAGCATACCGCCACCAGCTAACTTCTGATTGGTTCCTTGTCACGAGACAGGCGTCTGACCTCTAAGTGACCAAGGCAAGGTTACTGGTCATGGCTGCCGAAATGGGGAGCTGGTCCCTTCACCTGGAATTGTAAATTTTCACTATTTTCCTTTACTCTGAAAAGAGATTTTGAGGTGAGCATGGTGGTTACATGTCTTTAATCCCAACACCCAGGAGGCAGAGACTGTGAGTTCCAAGTCAGTTTGGGTCACATAATGAGATTCCTGTTTACAGAAAACAGAAACAAAAAAGGAGATAGGGTTTTGAGACACTTGACAGTTAATGGCATAGATGCCATCATTAAACCATCAAAATGTGAATTTAAAGCAAGTCTTTATCTGTGAGAGACTGCTACCATCAATACTGTAGATAGGCATTGTTTGACCTAAAGTGCTCTAGTTGTCCCCTCACCAAAAAGTCACTAGCAAGATTTACAGAGGGGCCTGTGTGGGGGCAGTCTTACAGTCTTATATCCCATACTGGGGCTCTGTGCTGAGCTGGCTGCTGAAGGAGAGCCTCCTTTGGAGGCAACTCTAAACTGTCATGGTTGACACTTAATGGGATGCTGGGTCTGTTTCTGTTTGTATCCAGAAAGAAGGAAAGTGTTGAGGATAGAGACACAGGGAACAGTAATATAAGGGAACTGTTTCTATGGGTCTGTTACAACATGATAGGTCCCAAAACATGCAGAATAGTGTCCTGTTTGCTTTAGTTTTTACTTTTATTCTTCTGTTCTAGTGAGAGAGCAGATCCCAGTTACTGCAAGAATCGGATTACTGAAGGTGCCAATATCAACAAGTCCCTCGTGACTCTGGGAATTGTTATCTCCACTTTAGGTATTTTGCTGATGGACTCAGGGTGATTGGAGTGGGGAGGGAGACTTCGGAATAACTCATACTACTTTCATTTTGTCAAATTAGGGTAGATGCTTTCAAGATTATTATTATTTTGTTGTTGTTGTTTTTTTGAGACAGGGTTTTTCTGTGGATTTGGAGGCTATGCTGGAATTTGCTCCAGGCTGGCCTCCAACTCACAGAGATCAGCCTGCCTTTACCTCCCTAGTGCTGGGTTTAAAGGCATGCGCCACTAATGCCCGACTCAGGATTATTTTTTGATAGGGTTACTTTTTGGTTTGAGCATGAAAATCTGGTAGTTTTAGAATACGAGTGACCATCATTCTAGAATCACGTTAAAACAATTCCTATCCCAAGTTCAAAGTCTGATGTAAACTCAGACTTAAAGTCTCCTAGCATGTGCAGGAAAAGGAGTATAATACTCTGTGTTCGGCAATCACTTTGTTTTGGTATATTTGCTTCATAATCCCTTCTGTATTCTACCTCTGTTTTTTTTTTTTTTTTCTTTTTTTAAATCTGTTAAGCCCAGAACTCCCAAGTGTTCAGCAGCTACCAAAGCCTCAGTGCTGCCAGCAGTGGAGGTGACAGTGGGGTTCCTAGCACTGCATCTGGGACCAGCAGTGGAGGGGGACCTGTAAGGAGGCAGTCGTACATCCCATACCGGGACTCTGTGCTGACCTGGCTGCTGAAGGAGAGCCTTGGGGGCAACTCCAAAACCATCATGGTTGCCAGTAAGTTGGAGGCTGGATCTGCTTCTGTTTGGAGCTAGTATTGTGCCTAGAAAATGTACTGACCACTTATGTGCCTCAGTCTCTCAAGAGTGTCTCATGCAGTGAGGGCATTAGCAGCAAGACAAGTGAGTAAGAGCTGGGATGGAGGGACCCAGTGTATTTCTCAGCTTTATCCTTCTACCTCAGCTGTGTCCCCTGCACATACCAGCTACAGTGAGACCATGAGTACACTGAGATATGCATCCAATGCCAAAAACATCATCAACAAGCCACAGGTGAATGAGGTAAGGCCTTCATTGGAAGTCCTGGTCTAATACAGTTTGAAGTTCTTACTGTTTTCTCTGGTTTCTTACTCATTATTTTTGTCACAGCTAGTTTCTCTGTTGTGATATAAAACATTGAAGAAAAGCAACTTGGGGAGAAGAGGTGCATTTGTCACTTATCTGTTGCTGGGGTAAAATGCCATAACCAAGGCAACTTAGAGAAGAAAGAGTTGATTTGGGGCTTACGGTCCCAGAGGATTAGAGTCCATGATGGTAGAGTAGTATTCAGTGTATTAGTATTCAGTGTCTAAGACTAATGGGGCATGTCTTATTCAACCCCCCAACCCCAGAAAGGGTTGTCACATCATACAGATTACAGTCTATCATCTCAGGAAACTGAGGTAGGAACCTGGAACCATTCTACTTGCTGGCTTGCCCCCCATGTAGCAGGTGGCTAGTGTCTGGAACAGCAGCTCACAGCTTACATCTCAGTCTCATGCAGGAGGCAGAGAGAGCTGGCTAGAAATGGCTTTGAAATCTCAAAAGCCACTCACAGTGACATATTTCCTCTAGCAAGGCCACACCTCCTAATCCTCCCCAAACGCCATCAATTTAGTATTCAGTGTCTAAGACTAATGGGGCATGTCTTATTCAACCCCCCACCCCCAGAAAAGGTTGTCACATCATACAGATTACAGTTTATCATCTCAGGAAACTGAGGTAGGAACCTGGAACCATTCTACTTGCTGGCTTACCCCCCATGGCTCATTCACCCTGATTTTTGTATATAGCCTAGGACTCCCTTCCTAGATGTGACACTGTCTACAGTCAGCTGGACCCTCCCCATCAATCAATAATTAAGAAAATACCCCACAGGCTTGCCAGTCTGATAAAGGTATTTTCTCATGGAGGTTCCAGTTCCCCAGGTGACTGCAGTGTCAAGTTGACAAAGCACTAATGAGCATAGTTTTCATCCAGACTTCCCTCTGCAAATGATGCTTCTTTCTCCCAGTGTAGTCCCTGCCTTTCTCTGCTCCCTCTGCTCTTTTCAGCAAACAATTTCATGATTTTATAAATTCCTTCAGGTGTTTCTTTGTGATTTTATAAATTTTATAATTTCCTTCAGGTGTTTCTTTAAGGCCATTCCTCTTAAGATCCCTAGTGTATGATTGCCACTCTAAGAAAGGTCATTTAGAAGCTTCTGTTTGATGCTTTTATTTTTAATTAATACTGATAATTGTGTCTGAGTTTTATTATATAAATTGCAGTTGACTTCTCTTTTGGATTAAACTGGGAGTATGAAAAATTTGTGGTTTTGAAAGCTGAGTAATGACAAGACCATTGCAAATGTTTCTTACCTCTTAGAGATTCAGTGAAATGTTTCAGAGCAGGGGCCACAGCTGATGAACAGACATACCTAGCCCACCTAGGAGCTGTTTTCAAAGGCAGTGTGATTAGGCATGTATCAGATTTAGTCCTCATACAGGAGGATTAGCATTTGTGAGCTTCCCTGGCCTGCTCTAAGGGATGATCCTCAAAGGTCATATGCAAAAGAGTCACCGAATAGTTCCTTAAACATGGTTGAGCCCCAGGCCTCAAGACTTGCTTTCTGGGGTGGGGCCAGAATTTTTATTTGTCACATGATGAAGCTGATACTATATAATCCTGGGATTATACTTTGAGAAGTCACTCCCAAAGAATAACACTTCTCCAAACTAGCTCTTCATAGCATTTTGGGAACCGGTATGAGCCAGTGGTGACTGACTTCTCTGTGTTTCAGGATGCGAATGTGAAGCTCATCCAAGATCTAAGGGAGGAGATTGATAGGCTGAAAGCCATGCTACTGAGATTTGAACTGGTAGGTGGCAGCCAATACTTCCATATTTCAATGATGGACGGTCTTGTCCCTTGAGCACTTGGGCTTGCCATACTCCATGTTTTCAAGTTTTATTATTATTGTGTGTTTGTGTGACCATCCATGTAGAGGTCAGAGGACAGCTTTCTAGGGCTGGTTCTTTCCTTCCATCTTAGGCTCTGAGGATATTACTCAGGTTGTTGGGCTTGTAGAGAAAGTGCTTCTGCTTGCTGAGCCATCTGGATGGCCCTGTGCTTCATGTTTTCAGTGGACAGTGATAGAGCAAAGGCAGAAGGATTTCCCTGATTTTTCTGTGTAGCTTCAGATGAGCTGGATGCCTTCTCCTTGTGTCATCTCTTGTCTAGAAGACATTTGCCTTATTGGCCCTTGCTCTCTGTGGAGACAGATAAGGGGAATTGGGCCCTAGAGAAAAATTTATTTCAGTTCTCCTCCTTTGTACTTACATGAGCCCAAATACCAAATGTTCCTGACTTATTTCTGATTCTGGTGGTGAAGTCATTGTTTCATCTGTACTTTATCCTTCTTAAGTATAATGATGGGACTTAATTGTAGTTGATACCAAGAAAACATCAGAACTCATCATCCCCCCCCTCTCCCAGCCTCTGTGCAGAGGAATTCAGCTCATTACATGATGAACTGGATAAGAAGGAGCTAATCACCCAGAATGCTCTGCAGGTGGGTGTATTGAGTGGACCCAGTTGAACTTTTCCAGTATCCTGGAAGTAAGTTTGCTCTCTCCATCTGTTATCCAGGTGTACTCCCCTTGGTGGGGCAAAGAGAATCTGTCTAGTTCAGAAATCATTTTTGTTTCCACTGAGCCTTGAGTAGGGAAGGTGTTTGCCTTAGTTGATGGCAGTGGCTTTCTTTGTATTTATTTTCTCGGGTTCATGATAGCTTCTTTTGGATAGTGTGAGTAGCCTAGAAAAATTATTTTCTAGTCAGTCAGGTAACTAGCGTGTATTCACAGACTGAACACTCAGTGTGAAGCTTCAAGGGATACAGGAGTCCCTGCCTTTGGTGGCCGCAGACCCCATGGACACACAGAGGTTGGTGTGCCTCATGAGGTGTCTGATGAGGAACAAATCATTATAGCCTGTGAATTTTGGAGCAGCAATCATATGCTGGCCAGCAGAGAACTGGCTTTGAACCAGACTTGAGGGAGAAGTAACATGAGCAAAGGCACAGGATATGGGACAGTGACATCGTGGAAGTGTGTGCTCCAGAGAAGATAGTGTTCATCATGGAGAGTTGTGAACTGAAGATGAAAGCCAGGTCAGAAGGGGTGAATGTGATGTAAGTGGGGTCTAGCGTCTTGAATCAGATTGGTGGCATACAAAGGAGTATGAAAGAGTAAAAGCAGAAAGACCCACTGAGGGAGAATGGAGAATCAGAATAACCATGATGCCCATAGACATTTAAAAGGAAAAACAAAAAAAGATGCAGAAAGGGTAATTGTAAGTGTAGATATCTGAGCAGCATCAATTAATTGAAATAACATTTTGTGATAGGTTTCTGTTGCTATGAGTTAGAACTACCTGAGAGAGTAGGAAAGGTTATTTTGGAGCTGAGGAGATTGCTCAGTGGGTAAGAACTCTTGCTGTACAAACACGAGGACCTGAGTTCAGGTCCATAGAACCCATGTAAAAAGCCAGGTAGAATAGGATTACCCATCAACCTCTCTGGCTTCTGCATGTGGTCACATCTGTGCAGGTACACAAAGAGAACAGAACACATGACTAAACAATGGAGGTGAAGAAGTGTACACATACAATCAAATCACATACAGGCTTTGAGTTTTCACAGATTGTAGGTTTCCATGATCCATAGATGCTGGGCCTATTGCTGAGGGCCATGGTAAGGCAGATCAAGATCATCCTGGTGAAGGGAACATAATGGAACAAAGGTAATTACTTCATGGCAGCTAGGACAAGGGAAGTGAGGCAGAAAGGAGCCAGGGACATATTATATCTTTCCACTTCCTGTGACCCACTTCCTCCAATTAGGCCCCACCTACCAGGTTTCCATCACCTCCCAAAACAATGCCTTCACCTAGGGACCAAGTCTTTAACACAGGAGCTGTGAGATATTTCATATTTAAACCATGACACATTCATATTTTTCTATTTGAAAAAACAGTGTATGCTCATTGAAGAAAAATTTAAGCATTTATCGAAGGAGCTTCCGTTTATGAAAGTAATACTTGCTTATTGAAGAAAACTTAAAACACATGAAACACTCACAGATGAGAGGGTACAGGGGCCTCTCTGAGGTTCTGAATAGCAGGGATCATGAGGAAGTAAAATACTGGGGCAAAGGTGAGAGAACTTCAGTCTGTTTTCACACAGGGAGTCTGTCATCTCTTGTACCTCTCCAGATAGACCATCTGACTCAAGACCGGATGCGGAAGTGGAATGACTGGCAGATACTCATGGAGCATTATGGTGTGGACATCAACAGGAGGAGGGCTGGGGTGGTCATCGACTCCAGCCTGCCACACCTGATGGCTGTGGAAGATGATGTTCTCAGCACAAGTGTTGTAATATATCACCTCAAGGTGAGGAGGCTAGTGCGTCCCCTTCCTGAGCACTGGCCCCAGGAGCAGAGGAAGGAAGGAACACTGAGGTCAGCTGCCTTGGGGTTTGTGCTCAGGAGTCTGATCCAACCAGCATGGGGGTTCATTTGGGTTTGGGCTGTAGGCAGCTGGAAATCAGAATGGTTATTTGTTTTCATTAGCTACTGGTGCTTTTTGGTAACTTGATTCTTATTTCTGTTCCTTAATTCCTTCATGTTAAGGTGAGAATGGGGCCTCTTACATTGCTTCTCATGTCTATAGTCAGGAGAGTGAAACCCTAATCAGGATAAGCTAAGAAGAGTGCTACATGCCTGCAGTCCCCGCTGCTCAAGAATGTGATACAGGAAGCTCCTTTGAGCTCAGAAGTCTGAGGCCAGTTTGTTCCTGAAGAAGATACTGTCAGAACTTCTAAACTACAGATACAGGCTACTTAAACATGGGCGAATTCAAGAGACTAGAAAGTTTTCTCACACTTTCTTTCATTCAACAAAAGCAAATGCCTTCCCTCCACATCTCCCCACCTCCATCTCCATCTCAGCACTTCCAAGAGAAGAAGAGGGAAGAGAGAAAGATAGATGAAGCTGAATACTTGAGGGAGGGTCCAAGGAACTGGTGATGAGGGGGTGATGATAAGCATTCATCTTGAAAAAGCCAAATAAACATCTAGGCTCTCAAATAAGAGCCCTGGCCATCATTTCTAAATGAGTAGTTTGAAGAGTTGACAATCTGCCTGACCCCTTCTGTTTGAGGACAGTCCTGTGGATGGTAGAACACATTTTACTGTTGCATCAGGCCACATCCCTGTACTCACAGAAGATCCAATTCTGTTCTCATAAATATCTACAGAAGACATTTCAAAAGAACAACTAAGTCGGGGATGTGTGCAGTTGCTGCCATCTCTGGGGAGATTAGATTTCTCTTCTGTAGGATATTTGGAGAGATGTTAGCCAAGCTGCTAGGTGTTCTTGGGATAAGCCCTATGAGCATCTCAGGTGGAAAGCTCAAGTAACTTATTTTCTGCTTAGCATTTTGCATACATTGTCTCAATGAAATGCTTCAGGCAGAAGTACTTGCCTACTTTTACCATAACATTTTGAAATATCGGAAACTAGATCTTTCCATCAGAAACTATAGGAAGAGATTAGGGATCAGGAGAGGCCAGATCTGTTAAAACGTCACCATTTGAGTGGAACTTTCCTGAATCACTGATGGAGTCTGGAGTGAGGAGAGGAAGTGAGTTGTTAGGTGGGAAGGCTTGGGGTAGCAGCAGAGGGGTAAGAACCATGGCTGTGTTTGAATCTTAGACCTGGAGGCAGTGGTGACTCCATGTGAATATAGGGTTGTTAATTCTCATTTAGTCAGTGCTCCTTGGTGCAGCAGTGGACCAGTGATGCGACATTTTAGTTAGTTTCTAATTCTGGCATTTCTTCATTTTATAAAGCCATATTCTTTTTTGTTCTTGTTTTGTGTGTTTTTTTTTTTTTTATTTTATGGGTGTTTTTCCTGCATGTCTGTCTGTGTATCGTGTGTATGGTGCTCCCAGAGGTCAATGTGGGGACATTGGATCACCTGGTCTAGGAGTAGCAGACAGTTGTGAGCCACCACATAGGTGCTGAGAATTGAACCAAGGTCCTCTGGAAAAACAGCAACCAGTGCTCTTAATCGATGAGCCATCAGGCTGGCCTTGAACTCACAGAGATCCGCCTGCCTCAGCCTTCTGAGTGATAGGATTAAAGGCCTGCGCCACCACTGCCCGGCTCCCCCATATTATTTTTATGGTTTGGTTTGATTGTGGCTTAAATAAGTATACAATAGTAGTGATCCAAGATTCTGTGCATTTTTTTTTTTTTATTTAGTTGCTTTGCTACCTTGGTCACAGACCTGAAACTAGTCTCTTGGTAATACACTGTAAATGGTTTTTTCTTGGGCCACGTTGGAAAGCTCCTTAGTGAAACAGGATGAGTGGATAGAGCAGAGATGGCTGATACCTTGTAATGACTTGTAATTTCCTTTGTGTCACTAACTGCTTGCAGAAAGAAGTGAAAAGAACAGCAAACACAGGGGCCACCTAAGTGTTTGTTATCTGAGAGCTCATCACCTTTTGGTTATAGTTTCATGATATTCTGTGGCCCTTATCTTTGGGGAGGAATGCACTCCATCATCAAGAATCCCTGAATGAACATGAAGAGTTTTAACCTATTTGTATTAGTCAGGGTTCTTTAGAGAAATAGAACTGATAGAATGGGTGTGGTAGGGGGAGTTATTAGAGTGATTTACAGGTAGTGGTCCAGCTAGTCCAACAGTGGTGTTCTCCCAACAGAAAAGGCAAGAATCCAGTAGTTACAAAGACTCATCTGGTCTTAAGTCTGTATTGGAATTCAGAAGTAGGTTGTAACACGAGTGAAGGAATGCTTTAATAATAGAGTAGATGAACTTGCCAACAGGAGTGAGGACAAGCAAGCAAAAAGCCAAAGAGCTTCTTTCCATGTCCCTTTATATGAGCTGACACCAGAAGGTTTGGCCCAGACTGATTTAGAGTGTGTCTTAGTTACTTTATTGCTCTGAAGAGACACCATGACAAGTCAATTTATAAAAAGAAAGCATTTAATTGAGGGCTTCCTTTCAGTTTCAGAGGGTTAGTCCATGACCATCACGGCAGGGAGCATGGTGGCAGGAAGGCAGGGAGGCATGGTATGGCGCTGGGGCAGTAGCCCAGAGCTCACATCTGATCTAAAAGCTGAAATGCGGAAAGACTAGGCTTGGTGTGGGCTGTTGAAGCCTCCAAAGCCCAGTGACATCCCTCCTCTGACAAAGCCATACTTCCTAATTCCTCTCTAACAGTTCCACTAACTGGCACCCAGTATTCAAACATGATAATGTGGGGAGCATTCTCATTCAAACCACCACAGGGTGGGTCTTCTCACCTCAAAGGATTTCCTTGATTGGATCCTAAAGCGCTGTGTCCAGCTGCTAGGGTTTTGGTTGTTTCCAGATGTAGTCAAGTGGACAACCAGCATCAGCCATCACACTCCTCCCTTGGCAGTGTTGGTAGAGGTTGGCAACCATTGACTTGTGTTCAGGGAGGAGAGGTAGAGGAGCGTAAGGCAAGCCAGAACGTCATTGCTCCCAGGATTCACATGCTGTCTTGGGAAACCTACAAGGTCTCCTTGTTCTTGCTGCTAAAGTATGGCCTAGTGGTAATTTTAGTCACTTTGAAAACTTCCCACTAGGGAGGTGTTATGGTGAGGCTGAAAACAACATGGGCTGGGGATTCAGAGACCTGAATTGTAGCCACAGTTTTCCTATTTAGCAAATGGGTTTTCTAGACAATTTACTCCCTCTGAGCTTCAGATTTCTGGTCTATAAGAAGGATGCAGTAAGCCAGGTGATGGTAGCACATGCCTTTGATCCCATAACTCTGGAAGCAGAGGCAAGCAGGATTCCTGTGAGTTCAAAGCCATCTTGATCTACAGGGTTAAGTTTCAGAACAGCCAGGACTACACACAGAGAAAACCTGTCTCAGAAAACCAAAACAACAACAACAACAACAAAAACAACATAGTAATACCAGCATTTGCAGCATTTCGGGTTGTTAAAGTATTAAATAAAGCCAAGCCAAGCATCATTGTAAATGATGGAAGGCGGAGGCAGGAAGTTGAGAGTTCAAGGCCAGCCCAGGCTTTAGTGGGCACACACCTTTAATCCCAGCACTTGGAGGCAGAGGTCGATGGATCTCTGTGAGTTTGAGACCAGACTGGTCTGCATATTGTGTTTCGGGACAGGTTCCAAAGCTACACAGAGAAGCCCTGTTTTGAGGGGGGAAAAAAAGCAAGCAAACAAAAAGAAGATGTCTACAAAACATTTAGTATAATACCTAGGACATAGCAAGTGGTTACTTAAGAAATGGTGAAGATAGGCTTTCAAGTTAGCATCTTTGTCATCATGTCTCTACCTCCTTAATAGAGTGTATGGTCTATAGTGGATTTGTCATAATCCAAGGCCCAAAGGCCCTACTCCTCTACTAATTCAGTGGTTTGCTTGTATTAACACTAGTTGCTTATGCTCTCTTCTACTCTCTTCCAGTTCCTTTTGATTCTAGAGACACCTTGCCCCTATTTGTGCTTTACCCTTCATAGAATTTAGCATCTATTATGCTTCCTCTGCAGAGCAAGAAGGTAACAATCCATGAATCTTTATACAAAGTCTCCTAGTCTCCTGGATCAAACACAGGCCACACTAACTTTAGTTGCTTTAAGAATAAATTATGTGTCTTTTTACTGGAGAATTTCTGACCAGAAGCTGTATCTATTCCCTCCCTGACTTCAGAGTTTTACTATTAGTGTTACTGTTTGCCTCTGTCCTCCTGGACTGCAGAGCGAATGGATGGAAGGTCAGGACAACCTAGACTGAAGTTGGGAAATGGTTCTAACAATGCAGAGATGGGTATGGGAAGACACTGATTACACACAAATATGGACTGTGCATTGGGGACAGGACTATGCCTCTTTTTATTCTTATTGAAATGTCTTCTTTCTTTCCTCCCCACAGGAGGGGACAACAAAAATAGGAAGAATTGATTCAGACCAGGAGCAGGACATTGGTAGGTAGTCTGACACACGGGCAGCTGTTTGTTCCTGAAAGGGTTACTAAAGGAAGCTGATGGTCTTGGAGAGAAAAGGGTCTGCTTCTCTTTCTGCTGCTAGCTTTTGGGTCTGGGAGTTGGAAGAAGGAAGCTTATACACAGGGAGACTTTCAGCTCTGGGTGGTTTCAGGTGGTGGATGTTCCTTTTTTGTTACAATGGGAAATATTCCAGCTGTTGAGAAGAGGCATTCTCCTGAATGATTTCCCCATCAGGTTACCCCTCCCCCACCTCTTTAGTCCTTCAGGGCCAGTGGATTGAGAGGGACCACTGCACGATCACTAGCACTTGTGGAGTGGTCATTCTCCAGCCTACCCAAGGGGCACGCTGTACAGTCAATGGCCGAGAGGTCACTGCTTCCTGCCGGCTGACACAAGGTAGGACCGTCTATCTCCCTGTGTATATCTGGCTGATTGATGGACATCTTCAATCTCATGGGGCTCAAGAAAGCAAGCTTCAATCATGTGTTACTCAGCCTCTGCACCCAGAGAGTAGGACCCAAGAGTAGAGAATGACTTGTGGAAGTTTGTACTTGTTTATCTGAGCCTCAATTTCTTCATCTGTGATAATGGGAGCATAGGTCAGGATTGATTGAATGAAGCCTGTTTTTTTTTTTTTCTTTTCTTTTTTTTTTTTTTCTTTTTTTTCTTTCTCGGTAGAGTGCTATAAAGACTTGGTGTCAGTGTGCCTCTAGTACCACTCCGTTCAAATCTCATTCTCTGAAGCTGAACTCAATAGTTTCTCCGACTACCCTACCTGGAACTTGCCCTGCTGTTCATTTGATTATAATTGTGAGATGTATAAAATACATATCAATTTAACAAAATTATCAGCTTGTTGTAGGCATTAGTTTATCTCACAGTTATGTACTCAGAGCACAATCATGGACTAAACTCTTGTTTGTCCATGTGTTAAAGGAGCTGTCATAACACTGGGGAAAGCTCAGAAGTTCCGATTTAACCACCCAGCTGAGGCTGCTTTGCTGCGGCACCACAGGCTTCAGGTCAGTATGGCTGTGATTTCTGAGTGGCTGTTTGGGAAGCTTCCACACTGCTCCATTGGGCTCATGCTCCCCTGCCTGCCCGGCCCCCTTCATCTCAGGTTGGAGAGGCTCTTGGCAGCAGTGGCTCTTTGGAATGGCTGAACTTAGATGGAGATGTCACTGCCTCAAGACTGGGTCTCTGTCCTGTGCTTTGGAAGGAGAGGTAAGAATCTGCTGCTTGTACCAGGGGAGTCTCCTGGGTTTGCTTCTTAGTCTGTAACAGAATGGAACTGGGAAATATTTGTATAACAACTAAGGTCTGAACAAGTATCCTCCAGAATGACTTGGGCAGGTGTGATGACTTGAAAATAAAATGTTCCCCTCAGGCTCCATCTTGTGGCATGACTTTTGAGGGTCCAGAACCTTTAGGAGGTAGGGTGGAAATGGAGGTTACTGGAGGTGCGTTCTTGGGGTACATTGTTCTCCACATCTTCCTCCAGGCCCCTCTCTACTTCCCATTCACCATGAGGTGAGCTGCTGATTTACACCACCACATATGCTCCCTAGCAATGCTCATGCTCCAGCTGTGGAGGTGGTCTCCCATAGACTGGGACCTTTGACCTGGGGGTCTAGGATGAACCCTTTCTCAAGCCGTTTCTCTCACGTGTTTGCTCCAGCAGTGAAAAACTGACTGTGAGTAATCTGAAAATGCTGAGCTGGCTGCTGAGTTTGTAGCTGACAGGGAGGTAGCCATGGCCCTCATTTGCTTCCTGCTTGCTTTTCATCTCTCTTCTCTGAAAGATATGTATCTCCCTGTCAACGAGATTTAACTGGGAGGTGTTAGCAGACATCTCTGGTACTGCTTCTAAACCTTACTTCCCCATAGTTCCCTTTGAATCCTGGGGCATGAGCTCATAATATGTATCTGTTAGCTTCCAGAATATATGACTTCCTCTGGATTCTAAAAAATGAATTTCTTCTTTATTCTCTCATAACCAACAATGCAGAGCTATGCATATGAGGGAACAGGGCCTATGAGAACAGTAAGAAAACATCTTGAGATTCTGCCCTTGCTCCTGCTTCACCTGCTTTGAGATAAACGTTGAAGTCTTGAGTTAGTTTTATATGCAACGGACAGCAACTGGTTTTCTACTTCATCATTATCCTTTCCATAGAGAATCTCCTCAGCCTGGATACCTGGTGGGTTTGCCCCTGGAAGTTCTTTTGTTCCTTTTAGCCAGACTGACTGGTACCATCATGTCTAACTGTAGGAAAATTTAACAGAGGACTTGGTACCAGTGAGATCACTAGCAAGACCACCAAGCACCTCCAACACAGGATTCACAGCAGGTTCTTAGCCTCTTGGGAGGAATTGTCTCTTTCTTCTGACCAGGAACATTTGATGACAGATGAAGATAGACTTAGTCTGACTTTGATAATGGGAGCTGTTGGATGAGCAGCAATGTGAAGGTACACAGGTTGAACTTAGCTACAACAGAGGTTTAAGGGAATGTGGTCCTGTGTGGTGAAGGGCAAGTTGGAAAAGCTGACACAGGTGCCAAGGCCAAGAAGAATTCCGGACTAAGCCTGAAGTTCTTGTTTTCTCAGAGAGGATTTCCTGGTTTGTGGGGAAGCTATGAAGGAGACTTTTTTTGGGTAAGGTTTCTACTAGGAAGACAGATTGAAGGCCTGTTTTTTTCCTCCGAGCGCAGAGTTTATAGGAAACAACACTGCAACTTAAAGCGCTATAGATATAGAAAAGGCACATTGGAACTGGGTAAACAGACTCACATCTGACCCTACCATGTAAAAGCTGTGTGACCTCAGGCAAGTCACTTACTCTCAGCCTGTTTCCTTACCTCTAAAGTAAGAGTGTGGCCATCCTGTTCCCAGGGATCCTGAGATAAGGACTAAAAGAGTTGAATGGGCATAATACCCACATATCCTTGGCCCCAATGGCTGTGAGGCTCTAGGGATGAGCTGCCCAAGAAAGCTGCTTTCCTTTCTTCCTTGTTCTGTCATCTCAGGCAGCTCACCATCCTTCCCAGAGTGTCCTGTAGTCTTCTCCTACCTGTTAAATATTTTTAGGATCCTCAGCTCCATGGGAACGAACATGGCCTTGCTGTTTTATCCAGAGGACAGTGAAGGGCTTCAGAATCCAGCCCTCTCCCATGGACTGCCCCTACCAGCTTGAGGGGCCTGTAGGCTGTGCAGGACCTATCCATCTACTGTAGTCAGTATCTGGTGCCAGCCCTCCGACAGGTGGTATGGTGCTCAAGCTAGTGATTGGGCAGAGGGGCCAGGGAGTGGAACTGACAGAGGAAATTGCACGACCCAGTCTGGATTTGTGGGCAGGCTTTCCTTCCACTCTTATTTGGGCTTGGCTCCAGGACTGCCCTTGTCCTAGGCCTCTGTCTCTCATTTGTCACTGGGGGAGCATTTCAGAGGGCCAGAGCTTTTTCTAAGCTGGAGGAAATTGGCATTCTCTCCTTGTAGTGATCTGGACCAGGAAGGAATTTTGTTGCATGTGTTCTTTGTGATTCTCATTTGGAGTTTGGGATTGGGGGTGGGGGTGGGGGGGCTATCTTTAAAAGACTAGAAAACAGAAGCTCTCATTGTTGCTACACTAGTAAGAAGCACTACTACTGCAGACTCTGTGAGGCCCCTGGGTTAGCAGAGGTCACCTGCCAGAGAGAGTGGAGGGCACAGTAGAGTCCTAGCTAGGTGACCAGGCAGTATATTGGGGATTCTGGAGTTACCAAAGATAAAAGGCAGCCATTGTTAGATATAGGTAGGTCCTTAACTGCCCAGGTAACTTGAAAAATGTGCTTAGCAGAGGCATCCTTCTGGCTGAGGCTGTGTGGCAGCTTGGGTAAATACACTGTGTCATCCTGGACAGTCTTCCTTGTAGCCCCATGCAGAACTCCCTAGAAGGAATGAGAGCTCTCCTATGAAGAAGCAAGTTGTAAACCTGAGAGCTGGGGAAACACTCAGGGGAGGAAACTGAGTAACCCCAGGGAATTCAGAATATATGGATTCCCCACTCTGCCACTTGAACTGGGTGTTCTATGGGTTTTAGCTGGGCTTATCTAGGCCTCACTTGATGGGTTTATGTTTATAATTTATCCATTACTGTGGCTCAAGTTTGAAGTAGTAATACAAGCATGACATGTGTAAATATATGTACAACATATTTTGGGTTAACATTTTTTCTTCCCAGTATTTCTGAAGTTCTTTCTGCCTTTCCTGGGGGAATTTTAGTAGAGACCCCTAATTCTTTCATTTTTAAAAGACAGAGCTCTTCTGTATGTGTATGCATTTGGGGTGTGTGTGTGTAGGCCTAAAGTTGATACCAGTGTCTCTCAGTGGCTCCACTCTATTGAGGCAAGGTCCCTCACTGACCCTAGAACTTCCAATTCTAGACTAGCCAACTTGTCCTGGGGATCCTCAGCCTTCCAACGGCTGGGATTCCTGGTAGCTATCATGCTTGCTTGGCTCTTATGTGTACTCTGGGGATCCAAGTTCTGGTCCTCATAGTCACATGGCAAATGCTTTATCCACTGAGTCATCTCTCCAGCCTAGGCAGAGCTGTCTGATTTAGCTAAAGCATCATTTTTTTTATCTTTCATTTTACTTATTTTTGATACAGGAAAACTAACCTCAAGCTCATGACCCAGAACATTAAGGTTAAAGGCAAGTGCTATCACACTCACTTTTTGTTCCTTTAGCATTTGTTTTACTCTTCGGTTTCCTTATGAGCCAGGTGTGGTGGCACATGCCTTTAGTCCCAGAATGTAGGAGGCAGAGGCAGGTGGAGCTCTGTTGAGTTCAAGGCCAGCCTGTTCTGTGTAGTGAGTTCCCAGACAGCCAGGGCTGCATAAGAGATACCCTGTCTCAAAAACAAAATAAACAAAAAATCAACAGCAACAACAAAAACCTGTTTTACTCTCATGATTTCCTTATGAAAGTGAATTTGGGTTTCTGCTAAACCCACAATTCTAAGAATATGGTAGTCTAATGACTATTCTCTGCTCCTATACTATGACTTCATGAGTTGTCTGTGACAACTCACCTATTTGTTTCAAGTTGCCAGATGTTGCCTTTCTACCCTGTTGAATTCATGAGTACTCTCAGAGGGACTTAAGTCTCCTACCCTTTTGTCCTGAGTTTGGTTTGCTTGGGTGACCCTGGACCTTTTGTCACAGGAAGGTGCTACAAGAGGGGTGTGACAAGAACCAGCAGACATCAAGAAATGGCAAGATATCCCACAGAGCCCAGACTGAGCAACAGCAGTGCTATGTGGAGGATCTGAGACAGCAAGCCATAGAAGGTCAGAGTAGAGTTCAGAAGGAACCAGAATTGGACCAGACACATAACAGCCAGAAGATAAAAGACAGTAGGTGTCTTTGTCTAAGGTGCCTGCTTTGCCTGCCTTCTTCACTTCCAAGCTGCCAACCTTCTGTATTCTGGCCTTTGTTGTGTTTATGATATGATGGAATCCTTTGCACTGGGAGTTCTCTCCCTTCTTTTAGGGACCAGAAGCTCACACACAGGGGCTGGAAATAAGCAAGTGGACTTCTCTATGGCCCCTCAGAATGATGCACCTTCTGCTGGCTCCCTCCAGTGGTGTGCTTGTCTGTGCATTTCAACCTGCCCCACTTGTCCACTCTCATATTGAGGCCCACAAATCTTCCTTTCTTTCCCCTGCAGTAGGGGAGCCCTGTAGCTCTCACTCACCACATCACTCTCTCCAACCCTTTTTACTCCTCACAGCTCCGGCCATAACTGGAGATGTCTGAGTCCAGGCAGCCATAGGCAGAAAGTGCTGACCTTCTCTCTGGGTGTTTTTGTTTCCCAGACCAGCAGTGGCTTCTCAGAGGAGAGACCTGGCTAGCCAGCTTACAGGAGACACAGCAAGAAGACGACAGTGGAAAAGAGAAAGAACTTGCGGCCTTTGTGGCACCTGATGCTTGGCTTCCTCAGATTCTACCATCTGCATTGGTCCAAAGCCAGAAGAGGGTGGTACAGCTGCAGCGCTTGCGGAGACGCACTTCTCAGGCTTCAGTGTGGAACATCAGGCAGAAAAAGGTCTCATTCCAGCTGGAGAGAATTATTAAGAAGTGGAGGCTACTGGAGACCCAGAAGAGACTGGAGCAGCTCAGGGCATTCTACTGGCTCCAGGATGATGGTGCCTCCAAGGCCCCAAGTTGCGTCTCCAGCTCTAACACCTCAGGACCGGGTTCTCAGCGTAGAAGCAGATGGACGGCTTGCAGCTCTCTGAGCCTCCAAAGGCTCTGCAGCCAACGTTTGTCCCAGCTACACAGGTACCAGTGATGTGCACCAGGAGCAGTGGCTGGAGTTAACCGGGCAGTGTTCTTTACTCCTCAGGGTTTCTTCAGCTGTGAGGTAGAGAGGTATTTATTCCTCTGGTCCTTCAGGCTTCTCTCCTTTGTCTGCATATCTTTACACAATCAGGCTATTCTTATCCTTGCAGAACTGCTCTTGCTCCCAGCTCATTTCTTCTTTTGAAGGAACTCACCTCATTTTCGTGTGTGTCTTAGACCTATACTCTCCAGATGCAGTTTCCTTTATGTCCTACCTCCCCGGGCTTCCTTGATCCCACAGACTGCCTCTTCCCTGAACTCACTCATGACTCCCAGGTTCATGTCTGGATCTGCCTCCTCAGCTCCTCTCCCCCTTTCTGCTGTCACGGGATGGGAAGCATATTATCTCCCAGATTCCTTGGAGTAGAGATCCATGTCCTGTTCTGTGTATCCTTGGCCTTGCTCAGAAGAATCACACAGTATCTGCTGCTGTCTGTTCTGCTTGCTAACCTCTCTGTTCTTTAAATAACTGGGCAGAAAACACAACTTTTTATTATGGAAAAACTTTAAACATGCAAAAAGTTGAGTGACCTATTTTCAGCAATTATAAAGATGTACCACATTCACTTCTAGTCCCACCACCCTATCTTCCAAAGCAATGTCATGTCATTTTAATACTGTATATTCAAGTATGTACCTCTAAAAATGTATTCTGTCATACCTACCGAGTCACATCTACGAAGATCAAGGTTGATAGCTTGATAGAATCTAAAACTTGGGTTACACTCCATTTTCCCAAGTGGTTTCAAGTGTGTCTTGATTTTTCAAATCACGATCTAGTTGGATTTATATACTGCCTGCCACTGTTAAGTCTGAAGTTCCCATAGTCATTCTTTTCTATTTCTTATCAGTGTGCAAGAGGTCAGTTCTGTAGGTGGTCCCATTTAATAGATTTATCTGCTTGGGTCTTTTAGTTTTAAAATTGTTCCTGCTTTCCTTACATAGCCAATTGCTTGAAATACAATTCAGTTAAATTTTTCCTATGACAGCAGTTGGGGATGGGAGTTGAGTGACAGTATGAAAACTGAGACTTCTGAAAGCCAGGGGGTCTGCTTTTGTATGTATTGAGCTGAGGACTGTAGGACACAGTGAGTGACACTGACCTGCTTTCTACCTTCTTTCAAGCCAGCTAAGTGGGATGCCATACTCCTTCTAATGATAGGATGTTGCTTTTCTGAGATGGCTTTCCTTATCTTCACAGTGCTTTCATGAACTGGAATCCTTCCACCATGTCACCACCTGTGCCGGACCTGACTCACCAAATACCAAAGAAAGCCCTATCAGCAGATTCTGTTCCCCAAGTTACTGCTTACCCTCCAAGGACAGGGTGCCTAGGCAGGAACAGCCTCCATCCATCAGGCTGGAGAAAGCTCTATCCAGCCAGGGGAGCCTCAACCAGAAGGAGAGTCTCTACCCAAGGCACCTGTCTCACTGTGAGCCACAAGTCTGTCAATAGCCAGGAAACTGAGACATTGGGTAAGCAGCCCTGTCAGATGTCCTCCCAGGGTTTAGTGACTAAGAAGCTAAAGCCAAGAGATGGTTCAAGGACCACTGCTACACAGACCAGAAGGGCTAAGGGACTAGTAGTCTCTGGCAACACACAAACTGAATGGCAAAAAGAAGGGAGCTGTGGGACCTACAAGCCTCATAAGGAAACCACTTCCCACTCTACCTGTCTCAGTGGATCTGAGCAAGCAGCTGGGCATGGGAAAGTGGTCAAGACTTTTCAGGCAGAATCCAAACCATCTCCTCCAAGTAGGACATTAAAAAAACACCAGAGGGTGCTGCCAGCTAGAGGCAGAGACGTTGCCAAAAAGTTCTCTCATTTGCCTCATGGCAGTCCTTTAAAAAGACAACCTAGTACAGGGAATCCAGACACTCTGGCCTCCTTCACAGACTCCAGACCTATGATGGATTGTGTAAGAGAAAACGACAACGATTTATATGACACTGATAGCAGTTACTCTGTGGATTCTCTCTCTTATGTCTATGCCAAAGTCCCAAAGGAGCTGCAGAAGCCAGAGGACCTTCAGGAAAAATGGGATCTTCCAGATCAAGAGAACTTTCAAAATGATAACAGTCAAATATCTGAGGATTCACTTGCCGAGAAAGGGTACCAAAGCCCCCCAGAAAACTCAGGGGGTGAATATTCCATCATGGTCCCTGGGCAGTCAAGGGCCAGAAATTCATTCTCTATAAGACACTTCCCCAAGCCCTCTGACAGTTGCTTATGTGTTCAAGCACATAGGAGCTTTTCCTTGGACAGCCTGATTGATGCTGAAGAACTAAAAGAAGATAGGCAAGAGGAACTTTTCCTTGGTTCTGCTGATGAGATGCCTACAGAGACTTTTTGGCACCTGCAGAAGGCCACCCTAGCTGCAGTAGACCAGGAGGCAACGTGCAGGCCTAGCCCTGTCAACCACAGAACAGGAGTCAGGCCAAATGCCTTCCAGCCAAAGAGCAATTCATTTTACCTTGATCCTCACTTCCAGCCCCACTGTGAGTCTGAGTCAGAAATGGCAGCAAACTATTCCGAACAAGCCAACTGTCTCCAAGGCATGCAGCTTGCAAGAGAGAGCCCCCTGGTATCTGTGGATTCATGGTTTTCTTGTGACTCTAAGGTCAATCTCAGCAGCCCCTCGGTAACTGTACAGTCTTTATGTCCAAGTCCTGATGTGCATGAAATTCAGCCCCATGATGAGATGCCTAGATACTGGCTAAACATCGAAGAAGTAAAGCCACCAGGTACAGTCCTGCCCCATAGCAGCAAACTGTCCCAAGGCAGTGCTGAGCCACCCTGCAGTTCAGATTTGTATGCAAACTCTGCTTCTGATACATCCAAGCCCTCAGTCTGTGGAAGTCAAAGGCTCCTTCAGCCAGGAGCTGATGGTGCCTTTCAGGGCAAAGAAATCCTTGACATGATCTACCAGGGCATCTCTGAAGAGTCACACAATTTTGACATGTCAAGTGTGCTGGCTCCCTCTGCCACCTCATTGACTCATGTAGGCACTATTCATGAGGAGGACTGGGCTGCCCTTCAGCAAAAGTATCTCCTTGAACTCTCTAATTCTGTTTTGGAAGCTGTGGGAGAGCCCAGGCCAGCTTTTTCCTTCTTGGAGGAAGACTCTAGCTCCCTGACTGAAGCTTCTGAGAAAGTAGATACTCATTTGCCAGTTGGTCCTGGGGTATCTAAAAATTTAGATTTCAGCTACTTTCCAGTCCACCTGTCAAAAATCAGGCACTTAAGAGCCAAGAAAGACCGTGACAATTTGAGTGCCAACTTAGAAAGTTCTTCTGATCTCTTTAGTACCATTGAGAAGGTGAGTTATAATGGGGCATACTCAGCAGACCTAGAATCACTGACTTCTGGATCTGTAAATGCACAGAGCTGTACAGAAGGACACAAGATATCAAATTATGTGACAGAAGCATGGGAAGTCAAACAGGCCAGCTTGGAAGGGTGCCTTCAGGGTAGCAGGAACTCTGGGCTGACAACTTCCTCTGGGCAGTATTTCTTTCAGAAGAAGGCTTATCACAATCATGATACATTAGCCACCAAAGCAGACCAGTGCCCCCAAGATGGGGCTCTTCTGAGGAAAAATACTGCTGTTCCTTCAAGACTGTTAAGTTACCACAGCCACCCACACCCACTGCTGGAAGAGAAGGCAGCTTCTCAGCAGCAAGCCAAGGAAGCAGGTGGAACACATACAGACACTTCTTGCACCTCCCCTTCAGGTCCAGAGCTGTTCCTGCACTCTGCTCCCTGGAATCCTTTTCCATCTTCTCTGCAGCCACCTCCCTTGGAGACATTTTATGTAACCAAAAGCAGGGATGCCTTGACAGAAACTGCCTTAGAGATTCCAGCCTGCAGGGAAGCTTGGATACCATCCCCACCCCCCAGGGAAGCCTGGGGCTTTGGTCATAGCTATCCAGTCCTCCAGAAAGCTCACCAGAAGAATAACTTACCCAATTTGTCATGTAGCCAGAATTCTAAGATTGACTCATCTCATCAGGTGACAACAAAGACAACAAAGTGTTCAACTAATCTGAACACAGGAGAAGTTACTGCAGAACTGGAGAAATGCACTAGAAAGATGAGTGAGGAAGGAAATCTCGATTCTGCTTACTGTTTTGTTGCTCATAATAAACATCATCTCCCTTCTACCAGCTTCAAAGTTTGTGAATGTGGAAATGAACTTGGAATTTTCAATAAAAAGTACAGCCTTTCAGTCCACAAGGAAGGAGAAGGGGCCTCTGCATGGCATCACTGCAGTGTTGCCTTTGACGGCACTGAGTCCAAGACTGTGCTTTTCATTTGTGACTCTAAGGCAAGCGAGGAAGAACAGAGCCTACTTCCACCACAGGAGCAGGCCTGTGGTGCACACAGCCAGCCTTCTGGAACCAGGTCTGATTTCATTGGTAAAATCACCAGTTTAGACCTGGAGAAAGTCATACCAGAGGAAACTGCTGTTTCTTTGAAATCCAGATCACTCCACTGTCGAGTAAGCAGCCCTGTGATCATGGCGAGAAGTGGGAATCTAACTCACAGGTGGGAGGAGAGAAATGAAACTGTGCTTTTCAGGGAAGTGATTTCCAAAGACATCCAAGAAGAGTCCAGTCTTCCAGGAACCCAGTATACCCGTGAAAGATGCCATCTAGTTATGTGTCCTCAGGAAAGAAAGCCTATTGAATGCAAGGCTCATGGGCAGTTGCAAGAAATAAAGTCCAAAGAAGAACCTTTGGGAGAGAAACAGAACATGAGAGTTAACAATGCCGATGAAATGGCTAGGCTGATCAGGAGTGTAATGCAGCTGGAAACTGGCATCTTAGAAATTGAATCCAAGCAGAACAAGCAACTTCAAGCTTCCCAAACGACAAGTACAGAGTTTATGCTCCAGGCCCTACAAGACCAGGAGAGGGCTGACCATGCCCTGATTCCAGGAAGTTCTGGAAAACATTTATTCTTTGATAATCAGCTATCTTTTCCAGTACAGACAGAGGATGATATCCTTGGGGACAGTGAAGCTAGGGAAATGGAGGGTAACAATGCTGTCAGTAATAATACCCAGACCCTGAAAAGCATAGGAAGCTCCTTTAGATCAGGGGGATACGCACATAAGAAACAGTCTAAGAGTGAACACTATCACCCACCACCTGGAATAGAGGGACTTGCCCAGGACACGTGTGCTTTTTGTGGGAAGAGCACAACTCTCAGAGAGCCTAGCAACATTTCCTTTCACTCAAGGAGAATGAAAGTGTTAGCTAGAGCTCTGCCGTTGCAGCCCAGTGTAGAGAGCTCTCCTGAGGAGGAGGATGAGCTTCTAAAAGCATCAGCAGACTTCCAAGACTATGCTTGGACCTTGGGAAATCTTGAGGAACCAGAGACTATGGGAAGTTTTCAGGAAAGCCAAATTGTTGAACTCCCAAGTGATTCAGGGTTGCAGGATATAAAAGCTCATGGAAGAGTTGAAGGACTGGCAGTGGGAAAGGGAGGGAACCTACAAGAAGAGAATATGGTCTCATCTACCCAGAAACTTCCTGCTCCAAGCCATCAGTGTAAGGGCACATTTTCCAGCCAGGAGACTGTCTCTCCATTCCATAGCCAGACAGGCTTCTCTGCAGCTCTTCCTTATGCAGAACCAAGTGGTACTCCACCCTTGCAATCTCCAAGCTTACCAAGACGCTGTTTGCATGCCTCTGATACCAAAGGCATTTCTTCATTTGAGTACATGTTAGAGCCTACAATGTTGAAAATTAATAGAAGTTCCTTGACAACTGGAGTAGGGCATCAGGATTATTGTGGAGAGATCAGAAGCAGTAGCCCGCAGAGAAGTGTTACAAGGGATGCTTCCACTGCACACACTGCCTGGTGTGGAGCTGTGACGCCCATGGTAATGAGAGCTGATCATCAGTCTGTTACACCAGAGAGCATTCTACTAGAGACAGAGGACTGGATAACAGTAAGCACTAGCCTCCAAGAAGACCAGAGAGGGGACTTCAGAATCACTTCAACAGGCTTGACTACCCAGGAAGGTTTGGGTTCTGAATATGAGGCAACTGTTCAAAAAGAAATAAAAACCAGTTCCTTGGATGGGGTTTCAAGACAGACTGAAAAGAGGGTCAGTTTCCTCTTAAAAGAAGACAGTGAACATGGCAAGGAGGAAATGCAGAAGGCAGAAAAATCCGAAGACCAACAGCCTGCTAGCAGTGCTTGCTTAACACCTTTGTCTCTACTGAGGGCACCTGATCCAGAGCCTCTGCCACTACCCGACTCTTCTATCCATGCATCCATATGCCTGGCTATCTTGGCAGAGATTAGACAGGCAAAAGCCCAGAGGAAGCATCTTAATGACTTTGCAGCTGAGGAGACAGTCCTTCCTTGTGAGACTTCACAAGAAGAGTGTTTTTCAGAGGCTGCAGTTAGGCCTGGGGAGAAAATGGTTAAGTTAGGGTGTGACAGCACCAGGACTGGGGACAAAGCCCAAGGACTGCATGTGGCATCTTCATTTGCTATGACAGACCTCTTGGCTGCTGAGAGGAAAGCCCAACCCATGCCTCCCAGTGCAGGGGGCTTTCAGCATCTGCCCAATCCTGAAACTGACAGAGGACCAGGGCATCATTTGTTAGCTTCCACTCCCATTGTCCCAAATCTAGAAGAAAGACCTTGTACTGGAGAACCAAGCGGAGTGAGTAGATGGTCTGATTCTTCTGGAGTCATAGAGAAAAAGAAAGAAACATCCAGAACACTGTCCTCTGTCGATCCTTTGGCCCCAGACAGGCTTCTTTCTACATCAGCTGTAGAGCAGGATGGGAGGGTAGGATCAGAGAAAGTGTCTGTCTTACCTTCTCAAAATTCTTGTGATGATCCTGGCAGGATTATGTGTGGGCAAAGTCAGTTAGCTGCATGGAAAACTGCAGCAGGTATATGCTTTGGTAGTCAGGACAGCATCCCAGAGTATCAGGAACCTAGAAGTCTAGATGGTACATGTGGAGGAGGCTCAGGTAAACTCTTAGTGACCACACAGGAAAGAAAAGCAGGCAATTCTGAATGTCAGTCTGTGATCTGTAGTGTTGGTAATTCTGCAGGCCTCTCAGGGTCTAAGCAAGACCATGTCCAGTGCTCAGATGCTTCTACTGGCTTAGAAGAAATGAAGGCAAGTCCAAAGTCATATGCTGTTCACCCAGGAGCTCCTAGAAATGTTGAAGCAGAAGCTCACATGTGGCATCCTGTCAAGTGGAAAAATGTTGACTCTGGCCTGGCAGAAGTCCATGGGGCAGACAGCAAAAATCCAGTGTCATTGCTAGATCAAAGACCTATCCTGCATCTTAGTAGAGTTAGAGAAGACGCTCCAGGTCTGTGTCCAAAAGAGTGCCTTGTCTTCGAGGGGAGTACTGGAGGCAGCAGACCACCTGGCTTATCTTATGAGGAGGAAGAGAACAGAACTATTCCTTGTCCTCAACTAACTGGTTCTCAACCTACTGCTGTTCATGCCAGATGCTCCCATTCCTCTACTCTGCCATGTTATAGAGACGGTTTCCTTAGGAAGGAAACTCCTCAGGCTGCTCCACATCCTGTCCACTCACATTTCATAGTACCATCTAGGGCCTGTGAAGTAGACAGAACAGTAGAGAGCTTTTCCAAAGATTCTCAGGTATTTTTGGCACATGACCTTGAGCACAAACATGTTCATGTAGAATTTGGGCCTATAGACAGCAGCATTCCCAACCCATCCACTGCAGCTGCTGTCTCCTCTCGAGCTCAAAGCTGCTATCCTATTCCCACCTCGGAAGTAAAGGCCAATTGTCTCACCTTTGCAGTTGCTGGTGGAAAGTCAGTTGAAGGTTCTGAGAAAAAGACTTCAGGGAAGAAGGCTAGCACTGCTCCTCAGGATGCTTATCCAACCAGTCCTGCAGGCTCGCACTCTGAGTCACTGAGGACTGAGGATAACTCTGTAGGGGAAAATATACAGGCATCTCAAGCCAACCCAGAACCTGCTGTGGTGATTCAGGGACCACATACCCTAAGTTTAAATGAAGGATCTGTCGACAGTGAGCTGGTGATGGCAGCTCAGTATGAACATTTAGGAAACATCACCAGACGATGTTCAGAAAAGACACAACCTTCCACTGAGGTTAGAGGTCACAGTTGCTTGGGTTCCCAAGCCAATTTTATAGATAGGTTAAAACACACCTGCCACCCTCAGACTGAGACTTCATGGGAGGAAGAAGAGCAACAAAGAGACCAGGCTTTAGGAGATGGCAAAGACCATGCCCAGGTCAGAAATCTGGCATCTTCAAATGAGGGTGGCTTTGATGGCTCTCATACTAGAGATAGTGAAAAAGAGGAGGTAGTTGTGGCAAAGTCTCCTGTGTCCCAAACTTTCTTTTCAGACCTTGAAGACCCAGCTTCTCTGCCCTTGGGGCAAACTGAAGCATCCCAGCCTGATGCCCAGACTCCTGACCAACTCTTCTCTGGAAGGGAGCAGCTGACTTTCCGCCACAGGCACACACTTCCTGTGATAGCAGTCTTCTCTGGCCCTAAACTTGCCAGGTATTCCCCTAGACCTCATTTCTCTGTGGTCAGCTCATCTCAATCTATTCATGAATTAAATATGAGAGTGGAAGCTCCTTCCCCAGCAGATGAAGATGCACAGGCACCAAAGAGATTGTGGAGCCCACATCTCAGGGCCTGTTCCTCAGAAAAGCCAATGTCAACATCTCCAGAGACTCAGGATTGCAATCTGAAAGCTCCATGTGATGTGAACAATAGCCCCATTGATCACAGGCCCCTGAAACCTGTCATTCCTCCTTATCCAACGTCTTCCACTGTGTCATGTATGCCAACCCCTGATTTTATGACTGACTGGATACCTGGTACTTTGGAACAGGCCCATCAAGGAAAGACAGATAAACTGAATGTCCAGGGCATGCCAGAGACCTGGCATTCTCAGGTGGACAAAGAAGTGCTACACTTTGGGTCTAGTGACATAAATCCCTATGTCCTGCCCTGGTGTCCACAGGAACCTATGGATATTGGCTGGAAACAATATGTGTTTGGAAGTGTAGCTGATGTCTCTTGTAGCCAGAAACCCCAAAGCCTAATACCATCAAATATGACTCAGTGCTCTAGAATGAACAATGCCCTAGATGACAAGAAATCCCCATTTCACTCCCATCTCAGGACTTACACCCAAACCCGGGACCTGCCAAACGTGTGCAACCGTATTGAGAATGACCAAAGTTCAAACGAAGGCTGGGAAATGCAGAGTCCCTCACTTGCCGTGGAGAAGCCCCATATCTTGATTGGCTCTGAAGGAGTTGCCCCAACTTGGGATCCTGACAAGAGACCCCCATTCAGGGGCTCTTCTGAGGAAATAGGCTGTCTGAGGAGTGAGCTGTCTCTGGCTGGAGGGAGTGTCCCAGCTCCAGTAGATGAGATTGTACTGCTCTGCCCATCTGAGACAGCCTGTGAGGTGGGGCAGGCCAGGATGAATACCTTTGAACAGGGAACACAGACCCTGGGCAGCAGGCTCCACTTGAGCTGCACCGATGTATCTGCACAGTCTGACAGCAGGACAATGTCAGACTTTGAGATGGCCTCCTGGACCAGCATGCACAACCTTTCTCTCCACCTCTCTCAGCTCCTGCACAGCACTTCTGAGCTGCTCGGGAGTCTCTCACAGCCAAATGTGATCCCAAAGAAGCAGAGCATTCAGAATGACTCCCCAGATGAAGCTCCACAGACCCTCATGATGGACGGTTCTACTCAGACCAGTGAGGATGAGGGCATCCAGACGGACCTAGCCTTATCTCCTCTGTCCTTCAAGGCTCCAGAGGTCAAGCCTCAGGAAGTCAATGTGATCCTTGAAGTGATGGACTCAGGTATCACCACTATGTTTCAAGAAAAGGAAGATGTACCAGGAGTGTTTCCCAAGAGAGGGACAGAGGAAGCAGCAGAAGCCCCAGATCTCCACGAAGGAAACACCCACTATAACCTGCAGAGCCCTTCCATGCCCTCACCATGCTTGAGGTTTCAGAAAGCTCATCTTGGGCAGAACCTTACTTTCGAGAGCCCCCCAGCCTCTACTAATGGTTCCTCGCCTCCCAGCCTTCAGCCAGAGGCATCTTCCATGGTGGTCAACAGTCCCAGCATCCTACACCACTCAGAGCTCTTGCTTGGTGCTCCAGAGCTCACCCAGGAGCCTGACACCCAGAAGAAGCCAGGCCCCTCGAGTGCTCTGCTGGTGGACAGGGCTTCCTCTCCAATCCTTACATTTAGTGCCAGCACCCAGGATTTGAGCAATACCTTAGCCTCTTTGACTCTATCTGTCCCCTCAGCTCATTCTCTTGGAGACGTCCAGGAGACTGCCATCAGTCCTGATCTTGCTGTTGATAACCCAAGACCACTAATGGATAATTCTCAAGCCACTAGTGGGTTCAGTGTCTCTCAGAGAGCTGGGTCTCTGGAAAGAGAAGGCAAGAGCCCCTTAGGAAAGAGTTCTGAGGGTTTAGTTCTTGATTCTAGCTCTCCATGCAGCCCACAACGGAGCTCCAGTCTCCAAGTTAGTTTCTTAGGGCAGGCCCCTCAGCAGCTTCAGCCCATGAACACCACTGGAGACCAAAGCAGCCTGCCATCTCCTCCACCAAGGCACAGGAGCCTGAAGCTAGATGACAGCTTTGTGCCCAAGAAGGTGGCTTCCATAGAGCATGGTCCACAGAGCAGTAGGAGGCCAAGTCAGTGTCAGGACAGGACAGCAAATGAGGATGAGAATTCAGTGTTTATGGTAGAGCCACAGCTCAGTCTGGATCTATCATCTCCATGGAGAGATCTTCAGCCCCTTAGCCCTTGTCCTATCTCCGATACTGCAGGGCTTCCAAGTCCTGCTGAAGAGCCACCTCAGGCCTGCCAATTTGAGGGGCTGCTCTGCCCTGGTTCACATGTGAGTGTGGCCCCTGATCTCCAGCATCACAGCCTGAGGGACCTCCCAGTTCATAACAAATTTGATAACTGGTATGGAGTTCAGGATGGATCTTGTGGAGGGCTGCCTGTCAGTGAGAATCTAGGGATTGGCTGTGACTTCCATTCTGTAGACCAAACACAAAGGTCCCTGAAACCTTCTGACAACTACAACCAGGAACCCGAGTGGCCCCAGTTTGAGCGTGTCCCTTTGCAAGTAGGGGTCCAGAAACCCTCACTCAGTGTGGAACTCACAGAAGCAAAATTACACCGTGGCTTCGGGGAGACAGATGCCCTGCTGAAGGTGCTGCAGAATGGGACAGGAGAGGTATATGCTCCTCAAGAGCCTGCTATGTCCTCTTGTGGGGAGTTCTACACCAGGTAAGGGTCCTGGGCCTGGAGGGCAGGGGAGGGCAAGTTAGGATAGGACCCAAGGGAACTTAATAGTAAGCTATTAGCTCTGCCCTTGCTCCCCTCAGGATTCTTCCACAGAGTCAGAGAATTCAGGGTTGAAGGTCATGTAGGACCACCTTCAGTGAATCAATCACATTTTATGTCAGGCAGAAAAAGACTATAGAGACCCTCAGGAGAGAGAGGGCTGAAGGACTTCCTAACTTTCGTCGAACACGAAGCCTCAGTCCCCAGAAACATCTCAGCTTCCTGCTCAGCAAGGATCTCCCCACCTGGGAACATGACTTGCCCAGCAGACGCCAAGGATACCTGCAGCAGCTGAGGAAGGATGTGGTGGAGACCACTAGGTGAGAGTGAATCTGGAGCCTGGGGACAGGTCCTGTGGGAGCTGGAATCTGAGCATCCCACAGGCTTTTCCATGCCCCTGGATAAACTGAGCTAGATGTGAGTCTGGGGTAAATGGAAATAGGATGTATAGGAGGGAATGGGGCAGAGCGTTCCAGAAGGAGATGGGCAGAAAAGAGCCATGAGAAAGCACTAGACAGAGGGACTCATGTTGTGCAAGTCTGTCTGACTGGATCTTAGAATGGCTTGTTCCTCTCTTTCTAGAAACCTCTCCTAAGAACATAAAATGATGATTTTGTAGACAGTAGGAGGTTGTGCTGAAGCCTGCTGGGGTGGACAAGACTGTACTTTATGCACTCATGTTACAAAGTGTCTCTTCACCCTGTGGACTTCCCTAGGATCCCAGAACCAGCACCAAGGTCAGCCCACCCACCCTCTGACATTGAGCTGATGCTTCGAGACTATCATCAGGCCCGTGAGGAAGCCAAGGTGGAGATTGCCAAGGCTCAGGATCGGCTCAGGCAGAGGACTGAACAAGAAAAGCTGAAAATCCGCCAGCAGATCATCTCCCAGCTGCTGAAGGTGAGGAATGAGGCGATCCTCTGCTTTAGGAACAGGCCTGGAACCTGGGCAGATCCTAATTATATTCTGGCAGCCTGTGAATCTGGATACACTTGGAGGGTGTAGGACTCTGCTTCCAGCCCAAAGCTGGGCTCATGTTCCCTTTCCACCCTCACCAGACCACTCTTGTCACAGACCAGAGTGTGGGAGGAAGAGGCTTCTGTGTGGAGTCCGGAATGTGGGGAAGCATGAGAATGGTAGCTTCTGGGAAGTAGGTGGGAGGCTACAGCAGGAGGATCTGGGAGGGGGTGGTGGCAGCTGTGGAGGGGTGAGAGCAGCCTGGGGAGAGAATGTGGTAGTGAGGGTGTATCATCAGTAGCTAGTTTTATCTGTCTTCTCCCAGGAAGAGGAGAAACTACAAGGGCTAGCCAACTCCAGCTCGCTGTGCACCAGCTCTAATGGAAGCCTGTCTTCTGGCATCACATCTGGTTACAACAGCAGCACAGCCTTCTCAGGCCACCTCCCGTCCCTAGAGGTTAAGGTGAGTGGACAGACATCAGGAAGTTTCTGAGATGAAAGTATGTGTAGGGTTAGTGCCTCTCAAGGTCTCTGCTGAGCCCTTCCCTTGTGCCTTTGGTTTAGGGCTGCCTTCCTCTCCCTTTACTCTTGCATTTCTGTGTTAGTTTTTAAAGTTTTGTTTTATTTTTTAATTATATGTGCGTGTTTCTGTGTGTAGATGCATGCATGTGAGTACTGGTGCCCGTAAAGGCCAAAGGCCTCAGATCTCTGCAGCTGGAGTTACAGGTGGCGGGTGGTGAGCTGTGTAATGGGGGTGCTAGAAATGGAGCCTGGGGAGTACACGGCAGGGCCCGGTGGTGCAGGCTTTTAATCTTAGCACTCAGGAGGCAGAGGAAGGCGGATCTCTGTAAATTTAAGGCCTGATGGATCTACATTGTAAGATCCAGGACAGACAGAACTACATAATGAGACCTTGTCTCAAAACAAAAACAAAAAAGCCAGCAAACAAACAGCACACTTTCAGATTTATTTATTTATTTATTTATTTTTGAAGTTGTTGTTTGTCCTTCTAAAAAGATTCATTACTGAGCTGGAGAGATTGCTGAGTGGTGAAGAGCACTGCCTGCTCTTCCAGAAGTCATGAGTTTGATTCCCCACAAACACATGGTGGCTCACAACTGTCTGTAATGAGATCTGGTGCATAATAAATAAATAAATATTTTTTAAAAGATTTATTTTTTGGGGGACAGGTGCTCACTTTATATGGCCCTAGCTGGCCTGGAACTCATTATGTAGTCCAGGTTTTCTTTGAGCTCACAGAAACCCACCTGTCTCTACCTTTGCTTCCTGAGTACTGGGATTAAAGGCATATGTACCATCGTACCCAGCAAGATTTATTTTTATTTTGTGTGTGGGTTTTGCCTGCAGGTATGCCTATGTACCACATGAGTACCTATGGAGATCAGATGAGGGCATCAGATTCCGAGACTGGAATTACAGTTGTGAGCCACCATGTGGACACTGAGAATCAAATCCAGGTCCTTTGGAAGAGCAGCCAGTTCTCTTAATACTGAGCCATCTCTCGAGCTCCAACTTAAGCTTTTATTTTATCCTCAATATTAGATACTATCTTAGGATAAGATAGTAAGTAAAATGGTATTGTCTTAGACTTTTAGAGACTTAAGACAGTTAGAGATAGAAATATTAAGCAGCTTGTTTTGTGTTTATTGTTGCACTGAGCTAACTGAAGGAATGCTAAGCTAGCATAATAGTTTGTTTGCCCAAATCTACAAGGTCAGTGAAGATACCCTGAAGAGACTGTTTGAACTGAGACTAGAATGGTGATGAGATTCAGAAGAACTGAGTGGTACTGGTGTTGGGAGAGAGGTAGCCTAGGAAAGGAGGCCTTGGAGTGGGAAGAGCCAAGCAGGGGCCTGTGTGGATGGGATACAGAGCAAGATAGCTGAATGGCAAAAGAGTGTACTGAGAACTCTGTCTCCTTTCTAGTCTGATGATGTTAAACCACAAAAAGGATCTTTATAAAGCTGCTGAAATGAAACACACACACACACACACACACACACACACACACACACGAGTGCACACATGCATACCACACATAGCACATACATACATACATACATACATACATACATACATACATACATACATACATACAATAGAACAATTGGATTGCAAGGGAAAGGGACAAGAGCAGTCATGGGAAGACTGTTACGTGACTATTGAGCAAGATGGTGAATGCTTGGTTTTGGCATTTCCAGTGAAGATCACCAGATATGGGTGCAAGGAGAAGGGCAGTTTCTTGGTGACTGGTTGGACGTGGGAGACAAAAGACGGAGTTGGAAACAGCATGCACTTGTTTGTTAATTGCTTTGGTGTGTCCTGTGTATGTTTGAGTGCACATGTAACAGTGTGTGTGTGTGTGTGTGTGTGTGTGTGTGTGTGTGTGTGTATGAGAGAATAACTATGGAGTTGGTTCTCTTCTTCCATCTTTATGTGGACCCTGGGGATTGAACTCAGGTTGCCAGGCTCGTACAGCAAGTGCTTTTACCTGCTCATCTCTGAACTCATATTTGACCTGAGGTGGTGACCATGACAACAACAATGACGGATGCTGGAGAAGGACCAGGTTTTGTTGGGGGAAGGTTGGGAGTTTGATATTTACTTACTATGTTGAAGGTGCTTCTGAAGATTTCAGCTTAGAATCAAGAAGAAGCTAGTTAGAATCAAGAAGGCAGCTGGAAACATGAAGTGCTCCAAGTAAAGCCTGGCTGGAGATAAATAATTAAAGTCACATTATAAATTAAAATGCATACAGTAAAAAAATAAAATATAGTGGCATATGCCATGTGACATGAAGGTACATGTTTTCCTACCCAGAAGTATTCATCTTAGCCACATGGATAGTGTGTAAACCTGTATGAATATGCGCATGGACAGTGTGTATGCACATGAACATGCACATGGATGGTGTGTACACACATGAATATGCACATGGATGGTGTGTACACACATATGAACGTGCACATGGACAGTGTGTACACACATGAATATGCACATGGATGGTGTGTACACACATAGGAACATGCACATGGGTAGTGTGTACACACATAGGAACATGCACTGGGTGGTGTGTACACACATGAATATGCACATGCATGGTGTGTACACACATAGGAACATGCACTGGGTGGTGTGTACACACATAGGAACATGCACATGGGTGGTGTGTACACACATAGGAACATGCACATGGGTGGTGTGTACACACATAGGAACACGCACATGGGTGGTGTGTACATACATAGGAACATGCACATGGGTAGTGTGTACACATAGGAACATGCACATGGGTGGTGTGTACACACATAGGAACATGCACATGGGTGGTGTGTACACACATGAATATGCACATGCATGGTGTGTACATATATATGAACATGCACATGGGTGGTGTGTACACACATAGGAACATGCACAATGGGTGGTGTGTACACACATAGGAACATGCACATGCTGGACCTTGGGTTCAGTGAGTAAAGTGCTTGTTGCTAAGACCTGAGTTCAGTTCCCAGACCCACATAGTGGAAGGAGAGAACCAATTCCTGCAAGTTGTCCTCTGACCTCCATATACTTATTTTTAAAAGATTTTCTTATTTATAATGTATACAGTGTCTGTTTATATGTTGCCTGAAGGCCAGAAGAGGGCGCCAGATCTCATTACAGATGGTTGTGAGCCACCATGTAATTGCTGGCTCACAACTCAGGACCTTTGGTAGAGCAACCAGTGCTCTTAACCACGGAGCCATCTCTCCAGCCTCCCACACACTTTTAAAATGTAATTAAAACAAGCCGGGCGTTGGTGGCACACGCCTTTAATCCCAGCACTTGGGAGGCAGAGGCAGGTGGATCTCTGTGAGTTTGAGACCAGCCTGGTTTACAAGAGCTAGTTCCAGGACAGCCTCCAAAGCCACAGAGAAACTTTGTCTCGAAAAACAAACAAACAAACAAAAACAACAAAAAAACCCCCAAAAATTATTTTACACAAACAAAAATGTAATTAAAACAAGGAATGTGTTAGGATTTTTTCCCCTTAAAAATATCTTTGGATTAGACTGTGAGTAAATTTATTACCAGCTTATTCTTTTTCATAGCTAAACAGAGTTTCATTTTTCTCTTTTATTGTTTTTAATAGGATGCTTTGTATAGATAATATATTCATGTAGTAGAAGAGCCAAAAAATAGAAATGTATTTTCCATTTTATTTATTTTTGAAACAGGGTCTCACTATAGATTCCTGGCTGGTCTACATCTAGTTATGTAGACCAGGCTGGTCTCAAACTCAGAGATCCATCTGCCTCTGCCTCCCTAGTGCTGCGATTAAAGATGTGTGTCACTGCCCAGAGCAGATGCTTTCATAATTCTTCATGCTGTCTCTTTGTGAGCATTTTCTTTGCTGTGCAGAAGCTTTTGCATGTGACAGAATCTCAACTGCCAATTTTATTTATTTAATTAATTTTTTGAGACAGGGTTTATTTGTATAATCTTGGCTATCCTAGAACTCAGTCTGTAGATCAGGCTGGCCTAGACCTCAGATGTCTGCCTGCCTCTCAGGCTTCTTGAGTGCTGGGATTAAAGGTGTGTACCACCACTGCCTGGCTCAACTGTGAATTTTAAAATTTTGTAGCCATGCTCAGAAAATCATCGTGTCAGTTTTTAAACATTTCCTCTGTTTTCCTGTAGTAATTTCAGAGTTTCATGTCTGACACCAAGGTTTCTGATCAAGACCCTGGCATGGTGATACACACCTGTCATCCCAGCTGTTATGCTGAAGAAGAACGATCCTGAGTTCAATCAAGATCATCTGTGGTGAATAGCAAGACACTCAGAAAACAAAATCTTTCTATCCATTTTGAGTTGATTTAGTTGTGGTAAGCGATGAAGGTCCAGATCCAGTATTGTGCATGTGAGGTTCTACTTGTCCCAGTGGTATTTGTTAGGCTGTCCATTCTCTAACGTTTGTTTGGGACCTTTGTTAAGGATCAGTTGGCTGTGGATGTAAGATTTATTTCTAGATTTTCTGTGGTCTGTGTATTTTTGTGTCAATACCACACTGTTTTTGTTACCATGGTTCTGTAGTCTGCCTTGAAATCAAGTATTGCAAACCTTCCAGCTTTGCTCTTTTTACTTAAGGTTTCTCTGTTTGGGAGAACATTTCTATGTTAAGTATAGGATTAGCCTTTGTGTTTCCATGAAGAATGGCATTGACATTTTTATAGGGATTATGCTGAATCTGTCAGTTGCTTTGAGTATCATGGGCATTGTAATTGTATAATTCTTCCAAATAGTGAACTTTGGGGAGGAGGTATTTCCATATTTGAATTTAAAGATTTTAAAACTTTTTTAAAACTTGTATGTATGTGTGAGTTTAATGTGTGCACCGGATCCCCTGGAATAGAGTTACAAGCACAGATGTGGGTGCTGGAAACTGAAGGGGGGGGCACTTTGCAAGAACAGGAAGTGCCCTTAACCTCTGAGCCTCTCTCAGTGCCTGTCCTCAATTTCTTTCTACAGTGTTTTGCAGTTTTCATTGTGTAGGTTTTTTTCTTAGTTAATTTTATTCTTAGCCATAAAATACAAAACACCTATTATGGGTGGGATTACTTTTGATTTGTTTTTTAATTGTATGTTGAATTTCTTAAAAATTTACTTTTCCCTAACTAGAACTAATAAATTTAAAAAATTTACTTTTATGTACATGCATGTGTGCTTGAATTTGTATGTGTACAATGCATGTGTTTGGTACCCATAGATGACAGGAGATGGCATCAGATCCCCAATGGAGTTAGAGAGTTATGAACTGTCACATGGGTACTGGGAACTGAACTAGGGTCCTCTAGAAAAGCAGCTCTTTCTTGTTTGTTTTGTTTTCTTAAGACATGGTTTCAATTGTATAGCTCTGGCTATGTAGATCAGGCAGGCCTTGAACTCAGAAATCTGCCTGCTTTTGCCTCCCAAGTGCTGGGATTAACGGTATGTGCCAGTATGCCTAGCTGCAGCATGTGCTCTTAACCACTGAGCCATCTTTCCAGCTCCTCAATGTAATCTTGAATTCTGTTTCCAAGTATTTTTTGTTAAGAATTTTTGTATCTGTATTCATCAGAGAATTTGGCCTACAGTTTTGTTGTTGTATGCTTATCTGGCTTTGGCAACAGGGTAGTACTGGCTTTCTAGAATGGGTTTGGTTGCATTCCTTTCCTTTCTATTTTATGGAACAGTTTTCAGAGCATTGGCATTAAGTTCTAAGGTTTGGTAGAATTTGGTAATGAAGTCATCCAGTATTGGACTTTTCTTTGTTGAGAGATTACTGTGGTTTTAGTCTTGTTGTATGTCCATTTGGCCATTTATCTGTATCTAGGGATTTATTGGGATCTACATTTTCCAGCTTTTAGGAATCTAGATTGTCAAATCATGATCTTCTGGATTTCAGTGGTACCTGTCATACTGCCCCCTTTTCACCATTTTAGTAATTTGGGACAGTTGACTCAACTATAGTATCTTGTTTCCCTTCTATGTCACACTTGTTGTCTACATGCTCTCTGCAGGTTTGAGTCAGTCACTCTACTAGGCCAGTTCTTGTTCATGAGGTGGCTCCCCTACTGCTAGTAGAATTTAATTTCTTTTGGTTGTTCAATATAGGGTTTTCTGTGTAGCCTTGGTTGTCCTGGAACTCGCTCTGGAGACCAGGCTGGCCTGGAATTCACTGAGATCTACCTGCCTCTGCTTCCAAGTGCTGGGATTAAAGGCATGTGCCACCACAGCCCAGCTATAGAGTAGAATTTCAATGGGACCTCAGAGATAGGTACAGGGCTTTCTGATTCTCAGAGCAGTTCATATTCAAACAGTAGGTCCATTATCCAAATGCTTCTATCTGCGGCACCCCAGGAGATGGCTGGTAGTTAAAGTGAACCCTTTCCCAAAGCTAGACTGTGAAGATTCCAGACTCGTTATCTAGCTAGGCTATAAGCCTGTGAGGGTTGTATGTGGGTCTTCCCAGTAGCCAGGCTTGTTCCATTTGTGCTAATGAGTTTACCAGGACTCCATTTACCCTTTACCCCTGAAGAAGGGAGCCATCTTTCTGGGCAATGAAGGTAGGGAAAGTGCTGGGATATTTTGTTTCTCCTGTCTCAGTTCTTTGGAAGCTACAGGTTTCCATTTGCCATTGTGTGGCATCTCAGTGCTTTGTGGTAGTTGCTCCTGGAAATATGAAGTTACATTAGTCTGCTTTTGTATTAGTGGAGGAATAGGTGACTGGCACCAGGTCCACAACGTTTGTTCTCAAGTCGCATGTGGCACATTGCACACACTCAGTAAACAATGAGGCTATCATATTGGACAGTGCCCCTTCTCTAGATTTCTTTAGGACTATAGGCATGTCATGTCAATCCTAGACATCTCACCATGTCCTTACTGTGTCACTTTGTGCTTCTGTCCTGTAGCTGCATCAGCTAGATCCTAAGTAGGTGTGAGCTAGTGTCTAAATCTTTTTTGTTTTTTTTTTTTTTTTTGAGACAGTTTCTCTGTGGCTTTGGAGGCTGTCTTGGAACTTGCTCTGGAGACCATGCTGGCCTCCAAATCACAGAGATCCACCTGCCTCTGCCTCCCGAGTGCTGGGATCAAAGGTGTGCACACGCTTCCACTGCCCGGCGTGTCTTCATCTTTTTCCAGACATTAATTAGCAGGATGCTTCTATTATTTTATACTAGATTTTAAACATATATTTTACCATTAAAGGAGCATGTATGATTTTCTAGGGCATTACATTTCATATTTTGGAGATTGCCATTTTGTGCATTTGTTCATATTGGCTAATATAAAACTATTCATTTGTGCAAATGATGCGTTATTCTTTTTTATTTTTAGTTCATTGATGTTTTGCCTACATGTATGTCTGGGTGAGGGTGTCAGGTCCCTGCAACTGGAGTTACACTTTAGAATTTCAATGAGGGTTCTGGGAGAACCTCTGGAAGAGCAGCCAGTGCTAGTGCTCTTAAGCACTGAACCATCTTTCTAGCAACCCCCTTTTAAATTTATGTTTTTAAGACAAGGTTGCTCCCTGTAGCCCTGGATATCCTGAAACTCACTTATAGACCAGGAGTACTAGTCTTTTAATGTGCTGTTACAGTCTGATAAGTTTTAAGGGTTCTTGTGTATTTTACTTTTTCTATGGTACTTATTTATTTGATATATATACAGTATTACGCACCAGATTTCTTTATATAGATGGTTGTGAGTCACCGTGTGGTTGCTGGGAATTGAACTCAGGACCTCTGGAAGACCAGCTGATGCTTTCAATTTTTGATAGCAGTGTTATGTATGAAATATCTAATTTATATACTAACCAGTGTTTTTCTGCTTTTGACCTTTTAAATTTTTTAATAATGCTATATTTTCCTTGCTCCCAATATTATCTTTGACCTATAAAGCATAAGGGATTTATTATGGCCTTATGTATAAAATGGGTCTCTGCCCCCAATGCCAACCCAGTTGTCATAGCAATATGGAATTCATGATTATAGCTAGAAATAACTGGTGTAGTACTGTCAACATATGAGGTCACCTAAGGTATTGGCCCAAATGCAAAAGAACCCCAAGATGTCAGTTTATGGCTGAGAACCTGAGACAGAGCACGGGTGGGAGCTGAGAGCCTGGGTGCTGGGGAGCAGATCTTAATGGACATATGACAGCCTGCAGAAAGACAGGGCTGGAAGCATCTTGTCCTACCGTACTGTGGACTACAGTGGTGGTGTTTTGATGGAGTGGTGAGAGCAAATGGTTCTAGGTTATGGCAGGTGCAGTGCAGGCAAGAAGTAGGAGATAACAAGCAACATTGGCTTCAGGAAGCTCAATGCTGGGAAACAATCTCTGTATGTTAAATACTATATCTAGTGAATGCTGGGAAACATATTCTGTATGTTTAGATACTATATCTAGTGAATTCTGGGAAACACATCTCTGTATGTTAAATACTCATATCTAGTGAATTCTGGGAAACATATCTCTGTATGTTAAATACTCATGTCTCGTGAATGCTGGGAAAAACATTCTGTATGTTAAATACTCATATCTAGTGAAAAGGGAGAGGTGGAGAAAGATGACCATTAGGTGAAAGGGATCCTAACAGTTACAGATCTAAAGCTGACTCAAGACTGTTGTAGCAGGACAGAAAGAGTAAGGAAGTACAACTGTTTGCCATTTAAAATTTTTTTACATTTATCTAGTGTGTACATATGATGCACATACCATGCATGTCACACATGTGGAGGTCAGAAGAGTTTTCAGTATCAGTTCTGTCCCAGGGACAGGTACCTTTACCTGCTGAATGTTTGTGTTCCACTGAGGAGCTGGCTTAGGTAGTTTACTAACCAAGGATAGGAGAGATCCAGAGGCTCTGGTCCTACAGCAGGGCTTCTGGCTCATTGTTGCACTTGGCCAGGGCCAAGGTCTGCTGTCCAGAGCTCACTGCTTCTTCCTCAGCTCCCTTCACTTTATTACCCACACTAACAGCCCCACCTACCCCACCCCGCCCATGATGGCCTGCTTCCTACTGCTACCATGATACAGGTAAGGTGGCTTCTTACATAATTCAGCAGAGGGCCCCATGGTCAGGTACTGGTTGTCCCAACTGCCATGGCAGCTGATCTGCAAGCAACCCTTTAAGCCTGTGGCCTAGATAATGAAGCTTTCTTGGCTGGTATCTATTGCTGTAATCTCTTGAGGGCATCTGTCTTAGTTATCGTGCTGTTGCTGTAAAGAGACACCATGACTAAGGCAACTCTTACAAAAGAAAGCATTTAATTGGGGGCTGGTTTACAGTTTCAGGGCTTAGTCCATTATCATCATGGCAGAAAGCATAGCAGGAGGCAGGCATGGTGCTAAAGTAGCTGAGAGCCATATTCTGATCCAGAAAGAGAGTAAAACTAGACCTGGCATGGGCTTTTGAAACCTCTAAGCCCAACCCCAGTGACATACTTCTGCAACAAGGCCACACCTCCTTAATCCTCTCAAATAGTGCCACTCCCTGGTAACCAACAGTGTCAGCCTACGTGAGTCCAAGGGCTTGAAGGCTTCCAAAACATTCAAATATGAGCCTTTGGGGGCCATACTTATTCAAACCACCATAGCATCTAATCTCCTGAAATCCCATTGTAATTGCTAGTGGAAGACATTTCTGGATCTCCCGTTCTAAGTATCCTCTGTTCTGCAGGAGGACTCTCGAGTACCAGATTTCCGAGACACTTGGATAGGGGACTGGCGGGGCCGGTCCACAGTGAGGAACAGTCAGCTGTATCTGACCGGGTCTTCCTGGAAGAGCTTAGCCCACCGTGAGTAGGAAGCTTGGGGAATGACAGCTGTGAGATTAAGTTGCCCAAGACTCTTAGTCCCATACCACTGTCCCACCACCCTGGTGTTTTCAGGTCATTGCAGAGCCTTTGTCTCTTTATTATAGGCTGCAGAGCCCCCCTGGGCAGTGGCTCCTGCTCTCCTTCCAGCCTATCCAGTTTAGGGACCTGCTTCTCCTCCCTCTACCAGGATTTAGCCAAACACATTGTCAACACCTCAATGGCTGATGTGAGTCTGTGTGCCTATTCCTTTCCCTCTCCTGTTGCTATAGTCAAACTTATGCTAGATCGGGAGGAGCCAGGCAGATTAGGGCCACCAAGGCATTGGGAGCTTCAAGAACTCTTCATCTTAACAGATGGGCATTTAGAAAATGTTAGCCAGAACTGATGAACCTAGAGACCTAAGTTCTACCCTCTGTCCTTAGGTAATGGCTGCTTGTTCAGATAATCTCTACAACCTCTTCAGCCGTCAGGCAACAGCTGGCTGGAAGTAAGTTATCCTGAAGTGTTTGGTTCTTCTGCTGTCATCCTCTTCCTTTTCTACCCTGGCTTCCTGGCACACCTCATGAGGGTAGCCTCCTTTCTATTCCTTGCCTCCTGTGTCCCCCAGCTACCAGGGTGAGGAACAGGAGGTGCAGCTTTACTACAAGGAATTCTCTTCTACTCGACATGGCTTCTTGGGTGCAGGTGTGGTGCTCCAGCCACTCTCTCGTGTTTGGGCAGCTGTGAGTGATCCCACTCTGTGGCCTCTGTATCATAAGCCCATCCAGACAGCAAGGCTGCATCAGCGAGTGTCCAACAGTATCAGCCTTGGTAAGTCCAAGGGCTTGAAGGCTTCCAAAGACCTAGCCAGGGGCAGAGGTAGAAGGTTGGAGCAGCACTGTTGGAAGCTCTAGATTGCTCGGCAAGATTGTGCTAGAGATCCACTAATGGAGTAAAGTAGGGCTTCTGAGCATGGAATCTGTCTGCCCTTCTAGTGTATTTGGTGTGTGACACCACACTGTGTGCGCTGAAGCAGCTACGGGATTTCTGCTGTGTCTGCGTGGAAGCCAAAGAGGTGCCTATATTGCTGGTGGTAAAATGTTTTGGGATGAACTTGGGGCTGAGGTGCAAATTAGTGGGCGCTAGGGTAGGGTGGCTTAAGGGCTGACTATCATCCTGACTACACTTAAACCTGCCCCTGTTTTGTCATTACACAGGCAGGACTCACATGTATCTCTGTCCCTAGGGGCATCTGTCAATCATGGCAGCTCAGTCTGTGTATGACACATCCATGCCAAGACCCAACAGAAAAATGGTTCGAGGAGAGATCCTGCCCAGTGCCTGGGTGCTGCAGCCTGTCATCATGGAGGGGAAGGAAATAACCAGAGTCGTCTTCCTTGCCCAGGTGACAGCACTGCATCCTATCTCATGGCATACCTTGGGATATTTCTCTCTAGCTGCATAGAATCCCCCGGTTGCCAGAACATCTGGCTAGAAGGTTTATAGTAAGGGAAAATCAAAGAGGGGAAATGAGCAAGTTTATAGTCTTTGTGAAGCTCCCAGCACCAGAGATTGACTGACTTAATATCCTTAGGAAATAAATGGACTGTTGAATTAAAAGCAGCAGCAGAGCAGAATTCTAACTCATCACTCTCCACTCTCAGGCCAACTCCACCTTCACCATTAGGGAGGGGAAGGCTAGTACTTAGATCCAAATTCAGGAGCCCAAGGGCATCTCCTGTCATCACTGCCAGAGTGGCTGATCCAGGTCTGTCTGCACCTTCACTTCTTCCTTCTCCTTCCAGGTGGAGCTGGGTGCACCAGGCCTCCCTCCTCATCTTCTGAACTCCTTTATCAAACAGCAACCGCTGGTTGTGGCCAAGCTGGCAACCTTCCTTGGTAGTTAGTATTGGGCATTGCTGAGATGTAGGCCCAGGACACTTGAGAACTCTGTAACTGCTTCTACACTCTGAGACAAGAAGAGCCCAGGCTGCCCATGGTAACCAACTATACAGATGGCATCAGCCCAGTGTTGCCAGCAAATCCAGTACTTAGTACTTGGTTACCTCTCAAGAATGAGCAACCTGAATCTCCTGGCCCTGGCTATCCAATGAAACCCAACTCACCTTTAGGATTTCTCACCTTTATTTCCTGCCTCTGGGACTGTGTGTCAAAGACTGGAAAAAGCACAGCCTGCAGAGCTGGGGACTGCTTGGCAAGGTGCCTCCTTGGCAGACAAGCACTAGCCAAGGGTATTCTGAATCTGCCTCCAACATTCAGCTCCATTTTGTGATGGAGTGACAGAAACGACCAAACCAGTTTAAAGAATCAACTGCACAAACTAGACTCTTGATTCAGACTTGTTTTCTCTCACTGAATGTTTACAGCACTTTACTATTCATATTTACACACACACACCATGTACTAGGCCACTGTGTGTCACTGGTATGGTCAGTCTACCTGAGGACACTGCAGTAATGGGTAAGAGCAGCTCCATGCTGCTTGCTGACATCGTAAGAGGATTTCAACCAGATTGTCTTGGAGAGAATTAAGTTCTGGTAGGCTTTGACCAACACTTATGCCTCAACCTCCTGAATGCTGGGATTGGAGCCAATACACCTGGACCTACTTCTTTTTATATAAATCTATTGACTGAGTAGGCTATAGTGGCATATGCCTACAGCACACTGGTAGAAGCAGGAGGACCACAAGTTCAAGATCACACCCAGGTAGCCAGCCTGGGCTATATGAAAGAAACCCTGTCTCAAGCACCAAAAATAACTATTGACCATCTTTTTAAGTACTGAGCTTAACTTAAATTCCCTTTAATCCCAGCAGGGGCAGGTGAATAGTTTCAGGGGCAGGTGAATAGTTTCAGGACAGCTAGCTAGGAGTACACAAAGAAACCGGGCCTCAGAAAAAAAAAATATATTTCTGCCACTCCAACTTTTTGGTGGAAAAAAAGATACTCTTATGGAGATAGAAGAATGGTTAAAGGGTAAATTTCTTTGCAAGATTTTTCTAATCCCTTAGAGTATTTACATATTACCAATTTGTTTAAAAATGTGCTTTTGAATTTATCTTCACATGGTAATATACTGTTAAACATATGCCTACTGATTTCCTTTCCCTTACCCCTTGCATTTTTTTTTTTTTCAGTCAGGATTTCACTGTATATGTAGCCCCATTCTTTCAAGTCCTAAAGACAATGAGCCAAGCCACCGTGCTCAGTTTCTTGAAAAAAGAAAAATTCAGGTACTGGTGGCACACACCTTTAATCTCAGCACTCTGGAGGCGGATCTGTGAGTACGAGGCCAGCCTAGTCTACAGAGTGAACTCCAGGACAGCTAGGGCTACAGAGAAACCCTCTCTCAAGATAATCTTGAATGTCATGATGGCAGTATCTACTCATGGTCCAGGGTTGAGATTTTGTTTGCATGCATATGCTAGTATTTCTTATGAGCTCAGCTGCTGCAGTAGGTGGGCTAGCTAGCATAAGATGTTAAGCCTCACCTAAAACCTGAATCAGCAATTTGAAGCACAGTCAACTCTCTGTAGCTTCACACCCCACATCTGTACATTTAACCACAGATCAAAAGACATGCAAGCAAAGGTTTCTTGTAGTTATTTACATATAGTTAAATTGGGGAAAAAGGAAAACCCAAGAATGTATTTACGAAGATAGATGTAGTTGTAATACTATGCTATATGTATTAAGCAATGGTTGACCACTGTGTATTTCTGTATTTGTGAGCCTGCACTGATCCTATTGCAAAAGTCAGGCTTTGGAGAGAATGGGCTGGGCCTGCTCCTGGCCAAATTGGGGAGCTGAGTATTTTTACCTGTAGAATGTGATACAAATACTAACAACTATAACTCAGAAGGAAGTTCTGAGGTAAATCAGACATCCCCGAAAAAGAGTACTTGTGTACAGAAAGGAGACTGACTAGCTCCCTAATTAGTTCATTGGCTGCCTGTTTCTCTAAGTGTGCACTTGCTTCATGGCTTAGTCTTTCATCAGAACAGTTTTGGGGGCTTCAGGCTTTCCCAAACAATGTGAGAATTGGTCATTAGCCTGCTGCTCAACTCTATCAGGGCTCACAGCTTCCTGAGGCAGGGCTGTGGTTCAATCACACCATTATAATACTGAACAGAAAGACAAAAAAAATGTATGACTGTCCGCTGGGCTTGAAGCTCAGTGATAGAGTACTTCCCTAGGCTTGATAACCAGTACTGACGGAATTAAGCAGTCTGAGTTTGTGGTTAACACGAGTGAGGCAAAGCCCCTGTGCCCAATTCTAGACCTGGAAAAGCCCTCTGATACTCAGGCTTTTTAAAGGAGTCAAGGGAAGGAAGGAGAGGTGTACACCAATGGATAAATTGCTCTGGGGTATGAGTTTAGAAGCCTTTTTTGACAGCAGTAAACCTTTCCTGAAATGACTTAGTGCCCAAGCCTAATGACCCGAACTTAAGCCCTGGGATCCACATGGTGGAAGGAGAACTGACTCCAAGAAGTAGTCCTCTGACCTCCAGAAGTGTGCCATAGCATTTATGTGAAGACATGCTAAGTGTAATAAAAATAAATTTTTAAAAATCACCTGCCCACTTATACAAACGAGGTCTTGACAACTATAACCCAGAAGACTGCTTCTAATTAGAAGTAGATTCTGAGATAAATCAGACATGCCAGTGCCAACAATATAGATATCACCAAAGCCATGTGGGTCATGCTAAACAGCAGGGAGCACGGTGAGAGTAGACAGTTCATAGCAGATTGTGCCTCTAAGACTGGGTCTTATCAAGAAAGAATGCAGGCATCAGCAAAGCCTACAAAGGGGAAAATAGCCATCAAGACCTTGTTAAAAGTTTTATTTAAAAAAAAGACCCCAAACCCCCTAATTTTCTACACCATGCTTGGTCTGATGACTAACTCCCTGCAAATGAAAGTCCATGTAAGACCAAGTTTCACATAGGTGTGTCCTACCTTTTTGGCTGTCAATATTTGGGGGTGGGGGTAACAGTCCAGCTTCTGTAGGTGAGAAAATGTAGACTTCCAAATCCATGTTTTGTTAACTTTCTCACAAGTTAAACATTTCTTTGCCTATCAAAATTTCTCATTAAGAAATGCTGGGATAGCAGCAACTTGAGGCTTGAAATGCACTGACCGGCATACACATATTTCATTTAGCATCCAAACGAGAAACGCCAGCTCCAAGACTCGGAGTCTCTAGGCTTTTCCACTGTGACTCTTAATCAGGTTCTCCTTCCTCTAGACTTCAGGTGTTGAGGCCCGTGTCTGTGGATGCTCTGCAGCAACACACTTCCTTCACTTAGGAGCAGTAAGCCTGATTACAGACATGGCCACTCTTGCCCCAGCAAGGTGTGCAGTGGGCTCTTGAGCCTCCTGAGGTACAGGAGGCAGGTTCTGGTGTCATGCCCAAGAGGGCTGCTTCCCAGCCCTAGCTTTGGGCCAGCACTGTCCCTCGGTTTGTTTGCATAAGTTCACAAGCTCTCAGCTGGGGTTCTAGCAGATGGGGCTCAGCTAGGAACAAGCGAAATAGTGTTGATAATTCTTCCGAGAAGTCCTGAAGTAGAAATGTTGAGAGAAAAGTAATCCTAGATGGTCTGCCCATTCTTTTTTTTTTGGGGGGGGGGATTGGGAGGGGTTGTTCTCTGTGGCTTTGGAGCCTGTCCTGGAACTTGCTCTGTAGACCAGGCTGGCCTCGAACTCAGAGATCCGCCTGCCTCTGCCTCCCAAGTGCTGGGATTAAAGGTGTGCACCACCACTGCCCAGCAGATGGTCTGCCCTTTCTAAGGTCAGTCCCAAGCAAGCTCTTGAAGACAGTGGAGAGCCTGACAACCCAGGTATCAACCCAGATATTTCACCCAATACTTTCTATGCAAAAGTAGATACAAGCTTCTAAGAACAGCAAGCTAAGGTTTAAGTTCCAGCAGGGAAAATGGACTGACAGAAAACTGAGGTTTTATCGTTTTCAAGCACAAAGTATTAATCTTATTTTATGGATACTGTTCTGCTCTGAATCACAAGACCATTTTAAACATAAGCTGAATATCCCCCAATATTCACTGTGCTGTGCTGCTTTCCAATTATCCTTCTTCCCCTTTGATCTTCTGAGAGTCTTGAAAAGTAGCCACACAGATCAAACCCACTACTCACTCTCATGGGAGTCCTGAAAACACTTGGCAAAAAAAATGCATGTAGCTGCCAGCTATGTTGGGTCTACACCTGGAATCCCAGCACTCAGCAAGCAGAAGGAATGCAAGTTTGTGGCTAGCCTGGGCTACATAGGCAATCTTTAGGACAAATGATACATTTCCATTTTCTCTTCATGTAAGACAAAGGGATTAAGACTCCTTACCCCTGGCCACTGGGCCTCATTAAGGCTGCCCAAGTAGGCTTCTATCTCCAGCTGTCCCATGAGATCCTTTTCTACCAGCTCCCGGAGTAAGAACAGTAACAGGTCCCACTGCAAAATACCAGAGAAGGCCAGAAGTTGTCAAGACCACACAGTAGTCTTAACCGTAGGGACTGAGGACTCAACAGTAGTCCCAAGAGTAGACATATCTCAAAAGACTGAGCTAGGGCTAGAGAGACGGCTCAGCATGCTGTTAAGAGCTCTTGCTACAGCTGGGCAGTGGTATTGAACACCTTTAATCCCAGCACTCTGGAGGCAGAGGCAAGTAGAAGTCAGCCTACAGAGAGGGTTCCAGGACAGCCAGGGTCACACAGAGAAACCCTGTCTCAAAGAAAAAAAAAAAAAAGAAAGAAAGAAAGAAAGAAAGAAAAAACTTGGGATGGGGCACTGGGTAATGTTAAGAACATGACTTTCAGGGATGAAGAGATGGCTTAGTAAAGTGCCTGACGTGCATACATGATGACCTGCATTTGGATCCCTGTTTGTGAATGTCTACCTGTAACCCTAGTGCTGGGGGAGCTAAAGATAGGAAAGTCCTGGAAGCTCAATAGCCAGCTAGTTTAGCCAATCAATGAGTTTCAGGTTCAGCAAGAATAGTGCTCACTAACAAGCACACATGCTAACCCCCCCCCTCACCAACACACACACACACACACACACACCCACACACCCACACCCACACACACACCCACACACCCACCCACCCCACAGAATCAATCCCCTTAACACACAACGTGAGTAGAGGAGCTGGGCATGGTAGCTCACATCTGTAATCAGCACTTGGGAGGTATAGGCAGGAATAATACAGCAAATTTAAGGTCAGCATGAACTACAGTGTAAGAGCCTAGAGAGATGGCTCAGAGGTTAAGAGCACTTGTTGCTCGGCAAGTTCAGTTCTCAGTACTGACATGGTGGCTCATAGCCACCCTAGTTCCAGGGAATCCAACAGGTATGCACATGGTTTACATGCATGAATGATGGCAAAAAACTTCATATATGTATATCTAACCCTCCACCCCCAAAGAAACCAGAAGCCTTGTGCCTCTGACTCACCTCCCTTGGCCGAGTATCTGCTAGAAGCCCCACATTTCTTGGGCTGAGTAGAAGCTGTAGTGGAACTGGCCCCTGGAAGTCATCCTTCCATAAGGAAAGCAGCATGTGCAGAAGCCTTCGAGCCTGTCCTCTCTCTAATTTGTGTTGTGTTGGGGGCCCTAAGATGGGGATCTGGTCTGCAACTACAGAAAGAGAAAGAAGGTAAATTTCAATGGAGGCAGAAGAGCATGACCTGTGCTCCTAACCTTGTTTGTACCCAACCTTGGGGGTTGGAGGAATGTATCATGTGGGATTTGATGGAAAAGGAACCATACCCAGGAGGGAAGCCAACTCCACAGAGCACTTGGCCAGATGCTGCTCAGCAGTTGGGCACAGGAACTATAGGGGGGAAAAGGGGAGTCATGAACATTCTTACTAGCCTGAGGACTGGCCCTGAGCCAACGTGGCTCATGCCACATCTCACCTGGCGGCACCGCAGTGACTGGCCCAGCTGGTTTAGGAGCTGTTCCAGATGCTCTGGGGAAACTCCCTCCTCAGGGTCCCGAGGCCCCGCAGCCAGGGAGAGTACATCCTGTAGAGAGCAGTGTTGAGACCTCATGCCAGGCTGACAGAAACTTGATTTGGGATGGGAACCAGCCAATGGAGAGAGGCAGAAGGAAAACCAAGCCCAAGGGAGTGAAGCAACTGGTGTTCTTAGGGCTGAAGCTCATGCAGGACAGCATAGCTAGGATAACAATTATGTAGACAATCCAGGGGGAAGTAAACGGAGCGATAAGCCTACAGACCGTATACTGCCAGAGAGCCCCAAAGATGTCACTCACCTTGTGACAAAACTACCTAACCAATTCCGAGAGGGCATCTTAAAAACTGTTTTATCTAGAGTCTGAACATCTCTCTCATGCTCTTGTTTATTTTCTCAGACATCTTAAAATAGAAATCCTCTGCATATTGAGAAGTGGTATCTAGCCTGATACCCTTCCCTGTCCCTTCTACAGTCTCCACTGATTGGCACTGCTTTCTAGTCTCTATTCTACAGCTTTATTCCCAGACCACTACTTTGTTTAGAACAGGGCCAGATAGTAATTTAGCCCTTGGAAGTCACAAGGCCTAATAAATATTGCTCCAACTATTCATCTCTCCTTTGGTAGCATAAAGGCAGCCACAGATGTTTATAAACAAATGGATGTGATTGCACTCGATAAAACTTTATTTACAAAAACAAATAATTTTAGACCATGGTTGTTTGCTGACTCTTGCTCTATAGCATCAGCCCCAAACCCCTATACCAAGGGATAATATGTAGGGCTTACACTATCTACTTGTTTTACAAATGTTTAAGACAGTCTCAATTAAGTTGTCCAGACTGTGATCCTCCTGCCCCAGCCTCCAGAATAGCTGGGAATCCAGCTCTGTACCACCAGGCCCAGCTCTCCCCCCCACCCCAAATTACACTTAGAATAGTTAGTTTATGCTAAGTGACTAGCATTATCTTCCACATAGAATAGTACAGAAACCATATCCAGACACTAGAATGCCCCTCCACTATAGAAATTCCTCCACTATACTTTATATAAGATGCATTTAGCTAAAAAAACTTTAGATCTGGCATGTTGTGACATACACCTTTAATCCCAATACTGGGGAGGCAGACGAAGGTGGATCTCTGTATATCTGAGGTTAGCCTGGTATACACAGTGAGTTCTAGGCCAGCCAGAGCTACATAGTGGGATCCTGTCTCAAAAAACAACCCTTTATATCTACTTTTTTGGGTGATTCTAGAACAAAAGTCTTAGGATGTGTTCTATGTAATCCCATTCAATAAGGAAAGAAACAGAAACCAGCCACACAACGCAAAAAGCTTCTATACAAATTCTGAAGCCAATGTGAAAAAAGAAACAAGCAGCAGGGAGAGGGAGTGGGAAAGCCAAAGGGAGTAGGGTAGCTGTGTACTTTTATCTCGGAGATGAGGTGGGAGGGGAGGGGAGCATGGTGCTCACAGGCTCGGGAGCAGCCCCTCCGCTCCACCCGGGCAGTTGGCTCAGGACCCTGGGCTCGCAGGATGCGACTTACAGCTGCTTTCACCTCTCTTCTAATCAGTGCTGTCAGGCAGAGGGAGAACAAGAATGAAGTCACTGGTGTCCCCTTGCATGGGCTTGCCATGACAACCCACACCTTTTATTTGTTCTAACTGGCTCAACCAATCCCCACAAACTGCTAAATACCCTGCCCATCCACCTTTAAAAACTTGGTTTAGTCACTCCTTTCCTGGACCTCACCTGTAATGTTGGCTGACAACCAAGAGCAGGCTTTCTCTGTTGCAAGCCCCACAGCAATGTTCTCTGCACTGCTTAGAACCTGTGGCACAGAAGGACTGCTGAGTCAGGGACTTGGGAAGGTGGGTAGTAAACAGTGGATGCTACAGTCCAAGATCCACCCTACCAAAGCCTCACACAGGTGCATGTGTACACATATGTACATATGCATGCATGCCTACTGGCCTGCTAGCTGCAGGCTTCCTTCCTACGTACAGCAGCTGGGGTCTCTTCTGGCAGCAGTGCTCGCACAGCGGTGGGGCTCTTCCTTTGGCAAAACCTGAAAAGACAGGAGGAGGTCAATGAAAGTCTAGGTATTGTAGACTGACTCACAAAAGCAAATGCCCAACTGCACCAATCCTATGGCCTGGAAACGCTACCTCAGAAGAAAGTCCATTCTCCTGCCCCACCAGATGCTGGAGGAAGGAGAAACCCACCCATTAGCCCTACATTACACACATTCTTCCAACCCAATAGCTGGACTTTGTGTCTAAAGACACACTCCTTCAGAAAAAGGGATCAGCGAAGAAGGGGAGGAAGGAAAAGAAATGGAATTAAGGGATGTGAAAGGACAGGAAAAAAACTAAAGGAAGCTGGGTGTGGTGGCTCATGCCTATAATCTCAGCACTGGGGACTTTAGCGTCAGGTCAGCCTACAGAGTGAGACCTGTCTTGAGAAACAAAAAACTAACAAAAACCAAGAGGAGACTTCAGGAGATAAGAGGGGCCAAATAAATTGACAGTTCTTACTCCCGCCCCTGGGTCAATGCTTGTGCCCCATGGGGGCACAGTTGAGAACACAAGAATTCCAACAGCTGGGCTGGATCTCCCCCTTGCTGTCCCTGTGTCACCAGATGCTCCTGAAGAAGTGACTCGGCTTGATTCACCAGATCTGCCACCAGCGTTGCCCTTTATCAGGGAGAACAAGGTTTTGGGGGCAGTTAGCAGTGCTCAGAGGAAAGGGGCTACAAACAGGGAAATTTGGTCAGAATGTCCTTAAAAGGATATAAGAAATTTCAACCTCCCTGCTCCCCTAGGTGACTTTGCTCAGTTTGATAACTAGGTGCTAAGAATTTAGAGGAAGGAAATGATAAGGGATTGAGATTAGGAATCTCATGCCACTCTTACTTGATGTGTTTGACACAGTTTGATCCAATTCTTTCTGCCACAAATTCTACAGTCCTGCGCAGGGAAGGTGGCTGGTTGTGGAAAAAGGCCTGGGCAAGCTGAGCCTGGCAGGAGGTGGAGGAAGGCGTAATTGAACCATGAGGGCTTCCTTCTTAACCCCCGCCCCCCAAAACTACCTCCCTGTTTCCCTAACCTTTGCCCTTACCTGCAACCCCTGGCTGGTCTTGGGAGGCAGGGTTCCCAGGCTGGTAGTGGTAGTGGGAGTGATTTTCCTCACAAAACCCCCACTCCGCCCACTGCTGCCTGAAACCCAGGAAGCAAGCAGTTTCCGGAGCTCTCCTGTAGAGGAGTCAAAGTCCTTACTTCCAAAATCACCACCCCATCCTACCCCAAACACCATGACCTTTGTGAAGCAAAGAGGATGAAGCACCCGGGCAGCCTAAGGAGTCATGTCTTTTTGGGTATCATCAAAGGACAGGCCAAGGACCATAGGGGGAGAAAGGGATGCTCACCAATATAGGGGCAGCAGGTATACAGCAGCTGTTGGTCCACAACAGGCACACTATCCTGGGGAAGAACAGGCCAGGGTTGGAAGGGGAAGGCAGGCAGTCTCCCTTTCCTCACAAATGCACAGGAGAATCATCTTACCCTCCTGGGCCTTTATCTATTAAATAATTCCTGGGTTTCACATGGCCCTGGTTGACCCCAACACTCACCAAGCCATGCTCTGAAGTAGCTGTGTCCACCTCCAAGGCATCTACCTGACCATCGTCTAGAAAGAATAAATCCTCAGGAACTGTAGGTATCTGGTAAGAGAGGAAGGCAGTCAGAGCTCCACTGTCACTCTACGATTTGCCATACTTTCTAATCAGGTCAAGCAAGTTGTCTTCTGAAGCCACACCAATACCCATCCCTCTCAGAACTAACTTTCCTCTTCTGTCTACTACCTTGCTCAAACTCTAAAGCTCTCCTGCCTCTGGCACAACACTCACTACCCTACCCTACCTATCCAACACATCCTGCCTACCTGGAAAAGCCAGCCTAGGACAGCAAGCAGCAGCAGCTTGTTCAGGAAGCACATCTCCCCTTCGTTCTCCTTCGATAAGACCAAACTCCTAAAAGTTAAGCAGAGGATGTAAACAGACTTGTGCCAAGGACAGAAGGGAGTTCTCGAAAGCAGACCTAAATCACACTACTATTGGAAAGACAAAGAGTGAGGATGAAGTGAGACTTGCCCCTCACATCATTCTTTGCTAGACCATAAGACAGAAGGAAGGACCAAGGGAATGGAAAACAACTGCCACAATCCTGCCTCTTCTGAGGCTGTTATAGGTGTGGAACCACAAGATATATAGACATCTAGGTCCTCTTTATAAATAGCAGAGCTATGCAAATAAGTCTTGTTCTACTCACCGATGTAAATGCAGCAGGAGAGTAAAGACACTCCGGTAATAGTCCAGCAAGGGGACAATGTGATCAGCAAAAGAGAGGAACTCCACCAGCCAGGGCACAGTGAGTACTGCCCGGCGGGCCCACAATCCCTGCTGCAGCAGAGCCCTTATATCTAGGACAGGAGGGACCTGAGAAAGACAGAATTCTGTCAACAAGGAAGCCCCTGAAAGGGGCTGGCTGACACCCTCTAACCCACCAGCTTTCTAAAATAGCTAAGGAACCTGTCAGCCTCCACACTTCGAAAGTCTACCCAGGTCCTCCTTATGCAGACCTCCCATGCACTCACCTGACTCCTGAGGGCCAGAATAGAGTCCTGAAGCTCACGGGTTGGGGGTGGTTCAGGTCCTCGATATGGCAGGAAAGCCACGAAGCCCAGAAATTTAGCCAAAAGTCTAAGACTAAGAAGCACTACAGCAAATTGCCTCCGTTCACCCTGCATAAGGAATCAAGTGAAACAATGTTCTGTATATAAGACTTATACAAAGGACAATTAAAAATCTGTTAAGTTTTCCTTGAACAGATATCCTTTCCCTCATAGATCAGACCCCATTATCTCCCTTACTCAGTTTTCTAACCTGCCAATCCACATCTGACTCCCCATCTTCATCACCAGGCTCATGCTGAGGCAGGGGAAGGCCGTTGAGTTCCCGAATCTTCAAGCTCAAACTATCCATAAGATGCTGATTGAAATGGAAGCTAGGGTGGGGGAAGAGCAAAAGATTAAAAAAGCACTGACATAGGTTAAAAATCAAAAACCAGCATTTAGAAGAGGTACCCGAGACAAAAGATGGGAAGGCGAAAGGACGACAACATTACCTATGTGGGTGCAAGAATGAGAAGGTGGGAGCATCTCTCTGAAAGGACGACAACATTACCTATGTGGGTGCAAGAATGAGAAGGTGGGAGCCGGGAAATAGAAACCTTTCCTGGCCTCAGTCTCTCTCCCTGAGACTTATAGGAGATCTTACCTGCTGGCACTCATGATGAAATCCCTGAAGAAGCCTTGACAGCCTGGGAAGGTGGGGGGAGGGCAGGGTCCTCCGCTGCTCTGAGGGGCTATAAGCTGTTCTTGGAGCTGCCGCAACCGTCCCAACTTGTCAGCTCCTAGCATATTCAGCACATCTGGAGCTTCACCCAAGACGGATCCACCAGTACTGCCAGGGCTCTGACACATCTGAGACATCCAAAGAAAGGGAGGAGAGAGATGAAAAAACCCATGGGAGAGAAAGACTGAACAAAGTAAGGAGAATGTGGGCTTGGGATATAGCTCAGTGGAAACCACTTGCTTAGCCTGAGCGAGACCCTGGGTTTGAAACACTATGAAGGTCATATCTTTTTTTTTTTTTTTTTTTTTTGGTTTT